TTTTATACAAAAGCTTTAGGTGTGAATCAGAAAGCAGGCTACATTCTCTCCTTTTGAAGTTTTATTTCTTAATATAAGTGATCAAGGAACAAATAAGAATTCATTTTCACTAATTACAATCTATAGGCCACCAGGGCCCAATTCTGAGTTCTTACAGGAATTTGCCGACTTTCTATCTACTTCTGACTGAAACATGACTGAAGTGTGTAAGCCATTCATGTAAAATTCCTTAGTTTTATGTTTTGCTTTTTACAGTGAATCATATCATAGGTACTTTAATTCAAGCCTGTAATATCAATGATGATGTTGTTTAGCATGTTTGCTATCATGTAGCCTGTTAGCTAGCTGACCAGCCTAGTTCTAGTTGAGAAAATAAGTTGTAAGCCCTTCAGTTTAAACAAAAAATGGGTTCATCATCAGTAAACTTGGTGGTCAGTTCAAGAGTCAAAGATTATTCCATTAACAGTACAAGGATTTTTCGTCCTGTGGCGCAGTAATACAGAGTTCAGTTGTTGTGATACGGTCGTAGCCAATCAGATTTTTGGACCAGAACTGTCCGTTTTATGTGGTAAGTAGATGGCAGCAGCCAGCCCCCTCTGCAGGCCAAAAACAAGCACAACACGAAACATATGCCCATCTGCTCTGCTCCCTTGCCTTTCCTAGGACGGTTAAAAATGGAGACATCCTGGGGACAGTCTTAGCCGGGGACAGGCCAGCATATCGAGGGATTGTCCCTGGAAAACAGGGATGTCTGGTCACCTTAACGTACCTTGACTCACCACTCATATTTACATCTCACCTATGTTATTCAAGTGGCCACTTGTGACAGAAGGGAAGGAGGGGGCAGTGAGGAGTGTATTATTCAGACAGAACGCACTCACCCGAGGCAGTTTTGCCTCAGTAAGTGGATCGACTAGCCATGTAAACTTTGCAATTGCTTTGTTGTGCCTTGAATAAAGCAATGGATTTTAATAATATATTAAATATTTTGTGTAATTTTAACAACGTATTATAAAAGTTAGAATATTTACTCCACATTGAGGTCTACAGGTCTTTTTAGCCTGGGTTTCTTTTGTAAGATGCTCTTGTAGTCCACATGGTTTTTATATTGTGCAGCACAACAAGCTTACATGACCTGTTTGTTAGCTGTAGATGGCTGCCATATATTTTGCTGCAAAAACCCAACCCAACATTGTATGTTCTGTCTTTCATACTGGCCTGAACAGAACTGACAAAGTGCACGGCTTGACTGATTGCTATCCCTTCAAACAATTGTCATCTGCATCCCTTAAAAAAAAACACACTGTATCTGACAGTGGAGTATGCTGTTAGCCAGTGGGGAACGCTCTGTGCTTTTCTGGTGCCAAACCTCGCAAATTTCCATGATAGCATTCACTTATCAGAAAAGGTATGTAGTGTTTTAAACTTTTAAACTTGGTCTTTAACAGGAGTGTACACCACCATGTTATAGCTCATGATAAGTTTAACTTTGCTTGAAATATTGTAGCTTACCTGTATCTTCTTCTTGGCTGACGCCACAACATTATGGCTAAAAATTGAATCCACTATGGCAATTAATAGAATTTTCATTTCCAGAACCTCACCTATTGGGTAAGATGAGTGATATTTTCCCTACCCACTGCTGCGTGGAGACATCACCAACAATCAGAAGATTTTTTCAGGTGAGGAAAAGACTTTACATTTTCATAGAGAATCATGGGCAAAACAAGAAATTTGTCTTTTAAAGGAGATGATAATTCATGGTTAATCAAAGTTAAAGTAAACTTTAATGACAGACATGTGATGTGTGAGGGACAAAGTATAGTTCCTCCAGAACACAGTGCTACATTTAACACACAGCAGCAGACAAGAGTGCAAACAGGCAATAGATCCAATAAATACAGACAGTAAATTATACAAGCACAAAACAATAAACTAAACAATCATAAACCAGGACAATAGAGACTAAACACTAACAAAGGACAACAGGGAGCTGGGAAGATACAATGACTGCCAGTGGGATGACTTACCATCAGCATCAATGATTACTTGTATCTGAGAGCCCATTCCAGCTGTAGCAAGAAATCAACAAGCTGTCTAGCTAGCTACAGGTCACACCTAAAAGTTTTTAAGTTTAGAATATTATCTTATTCTGCCACAGGGTAACTGAACAATCACACTATATCAACTACAACATGAGCAAAACATGATAAAATTTATGTTCAAATCATTACTGAGGGGCTCTATAAAACAGCACAAAACAAGCTTACTTGGTCACACACACAATATGCACAGTATAATGTGCACTGAAAAACAATATACGATGAAAAAATATAAGATAAGAATATGAAAAAATGGAAAAGAACATAAAAAAAAATAAAAGAAGGATATTATGAAATGCAAGGATATTTGCAGTGTAAAACAGATGTATGCATATGTGAAAATGCGCAGGAGGACCCAAATGGCCTGCAGGAAGAAGTTCCTTTTCATTCCTCTCATTCTATCCGTTTTTGCTTTCAAGGAGCGCAAGCATTTCCCTGACTGCAATAAAGGTAGGAGTCCATCATTGGGATGGCTGAGGTCTTTCATTTATTTCCTGGCTTTGGTCCAGCACTGCTTGCTGTAGATAGAGTTTGACGCTGTAGTAATGCTGAGTCAGATAATGAAGCCTGTTCTGCTTGCCTCTCAGTATCTGAAGACGGATTTTCATGTATTGCTAAAATCAACACTAGGTAGTGGAAAGAACCAAAGTGGAGTCACAGTTCTAGACACTGTACTGCTGTCTATAAACTCCTGCAACCCCACTGAATGGTCTGTACACTCCTGCGCAAAAAAAAATTGGCAAAGCCCGAAATATAATGGTTTTTACTGATGGTTTTGGCCTGGTCGGACTCTAGAATAAAACCCTATAGAGAATATTTGGTCTTACTTTAAATACAAACTAGCTCTGCAATGCTTTTCATCTGCATGTTTACACACAAAACTTCAACATGTAATTAAAGAAAAAAGCTTTCCCATACTAAGTTACTTTATTTATTTATTAATAGGTTACATTTATTCATACATACATACATTACTTACAGGTACTTGCATAACTCTTGTATCAATTGTTATAACAGCCAATTAAGTTATTAGGTAACATTGCTTATTAAATCATAATTATTATATGCGGTATTTGAACAAATGAGTGAATGCATTATTAATCTATGTAGTTGTTACTGGCTTACTTAATAGTACTTATACTTACTTTGTGTATTATTCATGTTAATACATTCATTCCTTAATATTATTTAGTCAAAAGTGTTCCCTTTAATAATTTATCCACTACTAGCTTCTGCTTTATTTATTTGTACTTTATACGTCTTACAGACAGGTAGTATATTAAAACACTTCCACAAACACTCTAATACAGATGCATTTTATTAGGTTCACCTAGCTTATATATAATCTTGTCATTTTATCAGAAACACTAACCATATAGGTCTACTTTATAGGTTTACAATTACAGACTATAGTCCTGTCAATGCACAACTTATTAGCACCCCTCTACTCCATTCATCAGTGGAAAGGGACCAACATAGGACCACCCCGACTAGATATTTTTGAATGGCCCATTCTATGCATTGCAGTGACAGTGACATGTTAGTGTGCATGGTGTAATGTGGGTCAATATTTCAGACACTTTGGAGAAAAGACCACTATACTAAAACAATCATGAATGTATTTGGTTTAAATGTGTACATCATTTCTACATGAATAAAATATATTACATCAACACAATTATTGCCCCAAGTAAGCAAACTAAAAAAAAACTGAAATACAATGGACTATTTTTGTCAGTGTCCATTAAAATGCCAGACATGAAATGCTTGTATATGAATGCATACACTGCTGGGCAAATGAAATGGGCCAGGCTCAAAATATAATGGTTTTTACTGATGGTTTTGACCTCCAGACTTAAACCTTATAGAGGATACTTGGTCTCATATTAAACCCAAACTGGCTCAGCAATGGTTTTTTACTGTTTGAAGCCATCAATGCTGAGTGGAACAATATTGACTTCTTTCTGTAAAAGGTTGTCTGCAAATGTAAACACAAACCTTCAACATTTAAAGAAATCAAAGGGAAATCTGTCCCATATGAAGTTATTTTATCTATTTGTTTAATGATTTGCTGTTAAGACCATTAAAAGTTTAATGTTGTAAGTGTATGTACTGTATACAGAGATGAACATCAGTCCAGGGCTGTGTTAAACGACTCCTGATGGTTCATAGCTCCGATTTCTCACTGTTGTGCAGAAGGAGCAGATCCAAGATGAAAAATATCTGATATCAGCATAGGCCCAAAATTCCCATCTTGAGTGAATCCCTGCAAATATAAATTATTTTTCTTCTGATTTTTATTAATAAACACCATCGTATAGTTCAATGAGTTTTGTGTCATGTAGGAGAAGTGCTTCAGTACAGCTGTAAGTAAAGTACATTTCATAGTTTTGATCCACGCTCCTCACATGTCTCTTTCAACAACAGTCTCTGTTGGCATTAGACTTAGCAAATGACATTGGTAGCAAATGTCAACTTTTTCATCTATGTGTCTCCACCCCTATTGGGTATGTATTTGTGTTTGTGTTTGTTTAAATTTGGGCTAAAATTGTACACTGTATACCTGGCTGACGGGAATCTGCCAAGGAGGAATGTTGAATTTGAACAGCAACTTTGCATCCGACTGTCACGGAGGCAGTACAACTTCACTGTGTGAGCAGACCCTTGTTTGCAGCTAGCTTGAGTTGTGTGTTGATTAGCATGGCAGCGTACACTAGGTTTCTGTCACATGGTATCAGGTGGTATCCGATGTTGGTATTGGGCCCTTTCATATGAGTATGAGTAAAGAGCACAGTATCGGGCTGATAACTGATACCAATATTAGTATTAATGCATCCCTAATAAAGGATCATATAAAATTAGTTATATTGGCTTAAGTCAAAGTAAATAATAAAGACACTAACCTGTAACATGTCTCGTACTCCCGCTGGGTGTGAACAGCTCTCTCCTGCACTGTGGTTAAAATGACAAAACAGGTGTTAACAAGTTGTTCCAAACTGAAAGTAAAGAAATGAATAGTAATAACGACCATACTGTGATATTTTTTGCCAGACACAGATTAAGTCTAGCCTAAATCACACAAACTTTGCCCAATCTGCTTTTTAGCTATGTCATTTACAGTTATCATGTGACCTTAACAATCAGTCCAGTAATTTAGTGACCTTTACAGACATTATGTACCCATTATTGTTGTTACAGTCATTCCAGTGACCATTACAGTCCTTATGTGACCATTATAATCGTTAATTACTCCAGTGACCTTTACAGTCATTTATGTGACCATTATGATCAGTACAGTCATTCCAGTGACTTTTACAGTCATTATGTAACCATTATAATCATTAGTCATTCCAGGGACCTTTACAGTCATTAAGTGACCTTTATGGATATATGAGTGTAAAGATTAGTCATTCCAGTCACTGTTCCATTTCAATGCATCTTTAATCTTTACTGTCATTATGGCAACCTTTACAGTCATTCCAGTCACTATTAGTTCATCATTATTCTTTATCGTCATTATGGTGACCTTTAGAGTCATTAAGTGACCATTGTAAGTGTTACAGCCATTCCAGTGACCGTTACAGTCATTATGTGACCTTTATAGATGTATCATTGTAAAGATTATTAGTTGTTCCAGTCCAGTCTGTTAGTTCATTATTAGTCTTTACAGTCATACCAGTCAATGTTAGTCCATTATAACTCTTCATTGTCATTATGGTGACCTTTAAGGTCATTCTGTTTCCTTTATAGATTTAGAGACTGTAGTACCTCTGCGTCCTGTATCTTCCTCAGTTTGAATGATGGAGATGAAAGAAAGCCTTCCTACAAAGCAAAAGTTAAAGAAGAGCAGTAAGATGTCTACCATGATGTCACAACATTTTAAGTATTTCCTGCTCCCAAAAACAACCTGATGCAATTATGGTAATATTAGATAATCCATAATTGCATAAGGAAGGGGAAAGTCAAAGGACAAAGGACAAGTGAAAAAAGGGCTTACTGGAGTTATTAATAAAATATACTGAGAAAATTGAACTAACATCTGTGCAAGACCTGGTAGACCACCAAAAATCAGATAAACAGTACTTTTTGTCCATCCTTCAACTGTGAGAAGACCTCAACACCATGGGTCTGAAAGGATGTGTAGCTGTCAAGAAGACATTACTGAGAAAAGGAAACAGACAAACAATAAGAAAATCTGCAAATCAAAGAGAGAAGCCACTGGTGTCCTCAGAACAATGGACTGACCATCCCAGACAGACCTCAACATCACTGAATGTATTTGGGATAACTCAGATCGTGAGAAGCAGAAATGCAACCACTTTCTAAGACTGAACTTTTTGGACCACCCCAGAGTCCAGACCTCAACATTACTGATCAGCAGTGGTGGGAACAAGTCACTAAGTTGCAAGTAACAAGTAAGTCTCAGGTCTTGACACTCAAGTCCAGAGTCAATTCCCAAGTCAAGATAGTCAAGTCTCAATTCAAGTCCCGAATCAGTAAGAGCCTCAAGTCTCAAGAGTCTCAAGTCGAGTCCTAATCTTCAAGTCCTAAACAAGTCAGTATGAATTCTTCAGCTAATTTAAGGCCACAACACTGCATAATGGTAACAGTACTACAGCCTTTAACTACAGCATGTTAGTAGTGTGTGGCTGTATAGATAATCACACTCTTAAAAAGGTTCTTCAAGGGTTCTTTAGTAAAGAAAATAGTTCTAAAAAGAACCATGAACTCTCAAAGAACCCTTTGCATTATTAAAGTGGTCTTTGCATTGTAAAAGGGTTCTTAAGAATGTTCTGTAGATGGTTCTATATAGAACCTTTAATAAAGGGTTCTATAGAGCACACAAAAATGTCAAGCTTGTAACAATAGGAGAAACCTTCTGAGTGCTTTGTAGAACACTTTTCAAAAAGATTCGATACAGAACCATCTACAGAACAATCTGCATCAATCTGAAGAACCTTTCATGAAGCAAAGAATCCTTTATTCATGCAAAGGGCTCTTTGAGTGTTCAGGGTTCTTTTCTCGAAGTCCGAATCACTGGTGTTCAAGTCAAAGTCGAGCTGCAAAGTCTCGATTTTCTGAAGTCGAATCTAAAGTCATCAAATTTGTCCACACCTCTGCTTAATCAGTGTTTGGAACTATTTGGATTGTGAGAAGCAGAAAATGCAATCAACTTCTAAGACTGAACTTTAGAGGTGTGAAAAATATCCCTACAGATTTCTTTGAAAAAATGTAAAACTGAAAGCGAGTCTCCTGAAAAGAATGAAGGCTTTAATAAAAAAAAAGATGGACACACTAAATACTGCAACGTCTGATATTATACTTAGTTTTTGAGGCTTCTGTGATTTTCTCTTAAATTATATGTTTTCCGCTTTTTTCCTGATGCTGAAACATAACTTGTAGTTACTGACCATTTTGACTGTAAATTAAACAAATGAAAGGTCTCTGGCTTTTGCACAGTACTGTAGAGAATTAGACGTATTACATAGATTTTTCAGAGATTTATAGATTCTGTACCTGTCCTTCATTTCTTTGCACTTACTGACTGAATGTGCAGTTTTTCAGTGATGCAAAGGTCTCACATGTCATGGCTATTTACCTGTATAAAGGTTTGTAGAGGAAGGTGTTGATAAAGGATGCTAGTTTTCCACTTCTTGTGTTTCTCCATTCCTGCAAACTTTTCAAATTGCGAGGGGGTGAACCACTGACTTTGAGAGAGGATGCATGGCTCACCTGCAGAATAGGGGGGGGTGATTGTAGTAGTTACTTAAAAGTTTGAACATCCCAGAGTGCAGCACTAATATAATAGGTTGTATATGTAAACAACATCATTAAACAAAATAACAGCAATGATATAAACAATGATTCTTCTTCTTCTTTGTCCAGCTATAATCATGCAGCTACATTTAAGCCACCACTATGAAAACTAAGGAATCACTAAACCACGTTTAAACACTTGATCTATTTAACTGCACCTGGCCTGCTCCTGGGCCGTCACTACTTGTGGGCCACAAGTCAGTGCTGAATGTGGCCTAGGTTAAAACCATATTAACATCACTATCTAGGATTGTATCTATTGTGCCTCTTTGGTCATATTAAAAATCACTACTTCACATTTCCCCCTAATTAAAAACAGAAACAACTAAAGAAATAAAGAAATTTGCAAATAAATTAGAAATGTTCATTTTTACTAGTCAGCAGAGTTTTTGTCCACTAGAGAGCGACACAACACTATAGTAAGCTACTCTAGCGTGTGCCGTGCTGTGCTGCGCTCCGCTTTCTTCTATTTAAGTGGCTAAAGGAGGTTTTTCTTGCAAGGCAATACAATACGCACACAGGTACCAAAAAGCAGCAACTAATATGAAGCATGGGCATAGGGTTGAATCTTGCCCTGCCTTGATTGAAGGTTAGTTAGATAATGAACTGCTCCTTTTCCTGTTCTGAGTACTTAAATTCCTGTAAAAAGAGGTTTTGAGTTATGCTAATGCATTGTGTGCTATGGATGAGCCTGGAAAGTGATTTATGCAAACAGTAAGCCCTTAAAGGCTGTGTGTTGCAGTTATTTACATAGTAAAATCACTGCGCTTGGTCTTAGTTTATTTCTTTTTATAAAATGGCAAAAATTTCACTATGACAAAACAGGGCACTGACTGATAAATAATTTAATATATTTTTAAGAATAATCACAAAAAATAAACAAAATAACAGTAAAAAATATATGATACATTGCATTATGGGTTCCACCATATTGATAGTTCTTTGTTTATATGCTACAAATACTCACACACACTGTTTTTAATGGTTTTAAGTAGACTCGTCATGCTCAAAAGTAAACCAAATGAAAAGGAAGTATATCTTAACCAACTCCAGAGGGATGCCAAATAATGATATAATGATAAAATTAGCTTTATTGGCAGTATGGATTAATACAAACTCCCAAGCAACGAGTGGCATTTTTTAATTGTTGGATAATGTTACATCCTCCTTCATTCCCAGAGTTTCTTCCTACTTTGTGTATTTAAGTACTTGTTTTTGAGGGTTTTTTCATTTTCAACTCACTTGAAGCCTACACACTGTTTACAAATAGTAGAGAGGTTTCATACGATCTTTGATCTACCATATTCCACCCAGCCGCTGGCATATTTAACTCTGTCACTGGCACATTTAACTCAGTCACTGCTATGTTTATCTCAGTCACTGGTAGGTTTCAAATTTTAATTCATCAGACAACAGGACACTTTTCCACTTCGCCTAAGTCCATGTTAAATGAGCTTGGGCCCAGAGAAAGTGGCAGCATTTCTGGATCCTGTTTATGTATGTTTAGAGTTTTAATTTGCATTTGTGGATGCAGCAATGAACTGTGTTCACAGACAGTGGTTTTCATAAGTGTTTCTGAGCCCATGCAGTGATTTACACTGCAGAATCATGTCTGTTTTTAATGCAGTGCCCAAAGATCACAGCCAGCCAGTATTGGTTTTCTCTGGATTCTCTGAAACGTATTATGTACCGTAAATAATGAAATTAAGTTCTTTGCAATTTTATGTTGAAAAACATTATTCTTGAATTGTTGCACTTTTTGCCTGCACTGACTTTTACAGAGTGGTGAACTCCTCCTGATCTTAACTTCTTTACTTCTGAAACATTCAGCCTCTCTGGACTGCTCTTTTCATACCCAATTATTTTACTGACCTGTTGCCAATTGACCACCAGGTGTTTTTTTAGCATTGCACAACTTTACCAGCCTTTGTTTTCCTTGTCTCAACTTTTTGAAATGTGTTGCTAGCATCAAATTCAAAATGGGCAAATATTTTTCAGAAACAATAAAATGTATTTATTTAACATGTTGTCTTTGTACTATTTTCACCTATACTGTCACACACATCATTGTATTCTGTTTCTATTTACATTTTGCACATTGTCCCAAACAGGATTGCACTGTTCCTCAAACTGCAACCTTTCTGCAAGCCTGCAGAAAAGGAGACTGGTGTGCTGGGGGGGGGGTGTGGCTTCAAAGCCAAAGCATGTTGGTTTTTGAATAGCCTCTCATTTTTTCAACTTATACTCTCCAAACCCAGTGATTAATGTAATCAAACATGATAGAACTTACTGTTGTTGAACCTCTCCTTATACAGCTCGCCTTTTATACCTCCACATGTGACTGTAAGCAGCCGATTGTTCCTGATTTTTTCCCCCAGTAAATTGTTCAAAGAGGGGCCTGAAATAAATGTGCATAGTTCCAGGTTTATGTCAAGAGAAAATAGAAGTGTAGATAAACCTAGTTTCAACTGCTATGGACCTCTAGGATTTGTGTTTAGTTTTTCCTTTGATGAGGAAATATCAGCTGAAAAAGGAAGGAAACATCCCATGTTCCTTTTACCATTTGTCCAGTGTGAAAATGACTAATCCTGCAATTTTGGGCCTTAAAGTGACACAGTACTGTGCAAAGGCCAGAGACCAACCTTCACTTATTTAAATTATAGTCAAAACAGCCATTAAGTAAATTTTGCAGGAGATATTTCTGAAGAGAATACATATAAGATAATCCACTGGCATAAGCAAGATGCAAGTCAAAGAAAAACAAAAGGAAAAAAACAGTGTAAGACCTGTTGGCCACCAGAACTGACCCCACTTAAACAGCACTTAAAGGTTTCATCTTTGAGAGAGAGGAGAAAATCAAGCTCCACTTTTACTTCAGATCTGAAAAAAGGTGTTTCTGTCCATAAAAGTAACAAGTGGATGCACTGAATCCTAAAAACTGTGATATTATATTTTGGTGTTGAGTGTTAAATGTTATATGTTATAATGTGTATTCTGTTAAATAAATGAAAGGGTGGTCTCTGGCTTTGTCACAGCTCTGTATTTTGGCCAAAAAAGTCAATTTTACACAGTTTACCTCAAATATAGTCAATCAGCCAGCACGTTTTCTGTCTGAGGTTTGCTTTTTAGTTTTGTAATGGAAGTTTATAGCCACTAATTAGCTTCATGCAAACTGCATTCATTAATACTCACATAATTATCTCAAAGCATGTTTTATAAATTATCTCAAATAGACTTGCTTGTATGGTTTTTGACAATGGAAGACATTCTGTTATCTATAAGTGTTCATCTAAAAAAACTACAGGTGACACTTTATTAACAAACACTTAACAGACTCTCAGTAACATGTCATAAACATATGAGGGTTAGGATTAGGTTTTGAGTTGAGGTTAAGGTTAGGGTTAGGATTAGGTTTTGGGTAATGTTTGGTAAGGTTAGGGTTAACAATATATCTACTTAATGTAAGTAATGTATCACCAGTGCATCTTCTAGATATTTACTTCAATGTATCCAGATGCTTCACTACTGCCACTCCACTGATATGTTGTTGATGTGTTACTGATAACCTGTTAAGAGTTTATCCATCATCTACAAAGGACCACTCCGAATAAAGTGTTACCAAACTACATCACTATAGTTTTGTCCATTTTATAGATAACAGTGTGTCATACAATGTCAGAAACCACATAAGCCAGTCTGTTTGAAATTAGTTACATATTTTTATTGAAACAACTTGTCATGGTTTGCAGCTCTAGCTATATAGCTCCAGTATAAAACTATAGAATCAAACTTCAGACATCAAACATGTCTTGGCTGAGCTACATTTGGAATAAACTGAAAATTGCTAAGATTTGGTTTTTTTCACCATTTTTAACTCTTCATACTGCTGGACTTTAAACTGGGATTTGCCCTGAATTCCTGGTCAGCGTTGACTTACTGCTCGCAGGCCTGTTGGTGGGCGTCTTCTGATAAGAAGTGAGGACGGGGGACGGCCGAAGTTGACCATTCTTCTTGCAGCTCCTGGCCAACATCTTCCTCACTCTCTCTTGACTTCTCATCTTCTTTTGCTACTTTTCACTCAGCCAGTCAGAATCAAGAGTCAAAATCTCTGTTTCTGTGTCTTAGTCTTCAACCATCTTTAGCACTTTCCTGAAAAGTAAAGATTATATCCGCAATGCAGACGAGTTACATTTTAACCTGAATATTAACACTGTATTCATAAGTGACTGGAATTATGAAGTTATTATGATATACAGTACTGTACAAAGGTCAGAAACCCACTTTAATTAATTTACAGTCAAATTGGCCATTAAGTATTCACTATTAAAGAGGAATTCCAATGACTTCTCAAAATTTCTTCAAAATGCAGACACTAAGATTTAAACAAAGTCATTCAGAGTGTTTTGATGTGAAATTACAGAGAAACCTATACTGACTCTGATTTCATTTGTTTACTATCCAAAACCACCAGTGGGCCTATATTTGTCTTCTGAGTTTTATATGTAATGTTGATGATGTTAAACAGTGGTAAATCTGAAAAAATAAGTTTTATTTGGGGTCTATTTTGCTTCACAACACCCTGCATCTGCTCTTCCGCCACAAATACATTTAATATGTTTTAGACCAAAAGCTTCTCAAAACTATCATCAAAACAGTGTCAGGCACACAAACATGCATACATGTACACAAAACCACAAGTGTGAACTTTGTTACAGGCTGTCAGTGACTCGTTTGGGAGCTGTTTTTGTTAGGAGGTCACAGCTGGAACTGTTTGGTTTTAAGATTGGAAGGATGGCAGCAGTGCACAAAAATAAAGAGTGGACAAATTAAATACTGACAGATTAATATTATACTTAGTGTTCGTGGCTTTTGTGTAATTTTCTGTAAAATACACGTTTGCTGCTGTTTTTTCTGACACTGAAAAATGAATCACTTGATGGCTGTTTTGACTGTAAGTCAAATCAACGAAAGGGGCTCTGAGGCTAATATAATATCAGGGTGAACCGTGACTGTTAGAGCTAGGCCTTTAGATTGGGCCATAAACGTCAAAACTTTGTCAAAAACAAGCAAAAAAAAATCTCTAAGATAATGTTAATTTCTGCTAAGACCTCTATGGGATTCAAGTAGTATGTTAGCACTAAGCTAACAGCAAGCCTGTTCTAGTTTAAACACAGGCTTGAAATTTGTAAAGGACATTCCATGTTTTATTTGAAGCTTCTGACAGACATATTAACATATGTTTATCTTCAACTGCGGCCACTGTGGCCACTACCACTGGTTAGGCTACCATTAGTACCTGCAGTCAGTGACATGTTGAGGACTTCCAGACAGCTTACAGTAACATTTTTGCCTTACATAATTGGTTCCACACATTGCAAATCCAAATGTGATTGTTCAATTCTTCTTTCTCTTCCTGACTATCTTAGTGATTAATCTGACGCCTTTAGGCCTTCAGCCCTTCAGTCCAGCTCCTGAAGCCCTACCCAATGGTAGACCTCACTTGGCTATATCTTCCTGGGTATCTCGGAACAAGAAAATTCTGACTGGATAACTTTCCGTTGGGTGTTTTAAGAATTTAACCCTGGCTCCCGAGTGGCGCAACCGTCTAAGCGTTGGCCCTATCACGCGAGTTCGATCCCTGGTGATGCTACAGCCATCCGTAGCCGGGAGTCCAAGAGAGCACAGTTGGCCTCGCTCCCTCTGGGTGGGTAGGATGGCCCCTCCTTCTCCCCCCATCACTCAGCGCGATGCTAGTCAGCGCATGCGTCTGTTCGCTGACGTAACAGACCTGGCGGTTGACGCTTTCCTTCGAGCGCGTTCGGCTGTCCAGTGACGTTGCGTGAGCGGCAGCTCGAAAAGAAGGTTGGCTTCCCAGGTCTCGGAGGAAGCCTGTGTTAGCCTTCACCCTCCTAGCGTTGATAACATCGTGTGATTGGGGGAGTCCTAACTAGCGGGTGGAATTGGAGACGACTAAATTGGGGAGAAAAATCGGGTAGAATTTAACCCTTTTGTTTCCACCAAAAAAGAAGACTAAAGAATCAAACTTTGGACACCAAACATGTTTTGGCTGACTAATTTAGTTTGGGGGGAGGGGAAAACTGTGTAATTTTTTAAATGAACTGTTCCTAAAAACACTGTTGGGCTGAAAGAGTACATTAGTTTGGAAAAGAAAACTGTCAAATCATTATTTAGGCAAAGCCTGCACTTCGTATCAAGGAAGCCACTTTGATGAAAAGTGTTGCAGCTAAAGTTGCCCAAAGTATTAGCAAAAAGCTATTTATGTCCATGAAGCCTTTGCAGGGATTTTTATTACTTAATTGAAACAGAGCAAAAGAAACAGAAATGTCTCAAAATTTTAAGAAGAAGTGTATCAATCCAAACCAACAACTGACAAACAACTCCTCTGAATGATGTGTGTCTCAGTAAACCGGTTTAATCATTTTGGTTCTGTTGTGATTTTGAGAGATAGTTGGCCAGACAGATTCAGTAGGTCATGTAACCTGTCACAATTATTCACAGTGGTGGTGACAGGAACCAGACGGCTGAAGCATTTAATGTCTCAAAATCTCCCTCACAAAAAGTTATTACATGTAATGGTTTTAAATACACTGCCTGACGCCTGAGATAGTTTTAAGATAAGCTTTTGGCCTAAAATGCATTACTTAAAAGTCTATTCATGGTGGAGATGTACATGAAGGGTGTTTTAAGGCAAAACAGTACCTAAAAAAAACCTTGCCACAAATTTGCCATCATCAGCATTACATATAAAACTCAGAAGACACAAGTAGCTTCACTGGTTGTTTAATAAAATTGCTATGGTTCCTATCACCACCACTGTAAAGACTATCTGAGTTTGTATGTTTCTCTACAACGAACCATTTTCACATCAAACTACTCTGAATGTCTTTGTTTACATCTCAACCATTGAATTATGCAGAAACTTTAAAAAAAAAGTGTAGAATTCCCCACTGCTGGGATAGGCTCCAGCTCGCCCCGCGACCCAGAAGGATAAACGGATTAGAAAATGTGTGTGTGTGTGTGTGTGGAATTCCCCTTTAAGTCTAAGCCTGAACTACAGTATTGTAGTGCTAGAGTTGTAGTGTCATAATAGAGTCTCCAAATTCCAGCAGATGGTTTGTTTTTATCCATAAACGCAAATTTTTGATTAGAAATAATTAGTTAATACACTCTTACTGGTTCTTCAAGGGTTCTTTAGTAAAGACAATGAATCTATATAGACCCAAAGCACCCTTTGCAAGCTCAAAAGATCCTCTGCATGGTGAAATGGGTCTTCAGACTGATGAATGTGTTGTTTATATAGCACTAAACAGGGTTCTGCTACTGTTACGATGTCAAGCTTGTAACAATACAACCCCTTTTTTGGCTCTTAGAATCATAATCAAAAAAGGTTTTCACCATGCAAAGAACGGTTCTCTGTGTGTTCATGGTCCTATATAGAACCAGGAGGCCTCATTCGACAACGATTCTTAAGAAAAAAGATCTTCTTAAAACCGACTTACGCCGTTTTCACGAAGATTCTGACATTCGCCACTTATTGTTTACTTATTTGGGCTTTGTTCTTAGGTAAGAACAGAATCGAGACCCACTCAAGAGCACACAGTTCTGCGCTTTAAAAACACGTCATGAACTTGATGTAGGCTTTATATTAGGACCTTTCTCAAGAATAAATTTAAGAAAAAACGACATTGGCGAATGTAGCCCCTGCAGCTACACCAACTGCCTGCTCTGAGCTGAAAACTCAGCAGCTTTGATCCCGCCAATACTGCACTTGAACTTCCGGTGTTTGTCAAAGAAATTTCGAAAAAAAAAAAACTGAAAGACTGGCGACGCAGAAAGAAAATAAGGATCAGATACAGATATAATGTGAAAGATCTGCTCACCTTGTGTAACAGTCCAGTATGTCTCTCTGTTATACTCATTAACAGACATGCAGACGCACACACACACTTAGCTGATAAAAGCTGCAGTGACGCTCAGATAAAACATGGAGGAGGAGTTTTGTACTGCTTTTCTTCCCTGTGTGATCTCTCTCCTCCTATGTGCTGACTTTTTTATATCTGTTTCAGTTTCTCTCTACGCCTTTTCCATGTGGGTGGAGTTTCTGTGGCTGAAGGCAAAACAACTTGCACCCGAAACTACTGGGTGCAAGTTAGTCACACAGCTGTCTACACTGCAAACAATTGTATTTTCACAAGTGAAATCATCTCAAATCTAGTTGTTATGTCTAATATACCTCATTTTCAGATTGCTGTGAGAATATTATGAGATTATTTGGACATTTTTACTTTTATAATATTATTAAGTGAAACACTTGTTTTACATATTTCTTTACAGTGGTGGTGACAGGAGACAGGGTCACAATGTCTAAAACTAAAACAGTCAATTTATTATTTATCCAAAAGCACCAGTGAGACTACACACATCTTCTGAGTTACTATATGTAATGTTGATAACGGTGAAATACTGGTAAATCTGAAAAAATACATTTTCTTTTGGTACTGTTTTGCCTAACAACACCTTGCATGTACCGCTCTGCCATAAATTGATTTTAGAAGTTACATTTACCACAAAAAGCTTCTCCCAAAACTATCATAAAACACTGTCTCGGGCATCAGGCTGCATATTTGTAGCCATTTCATGTAATACCTTTCTGAGAGGGAGGTTTTAGAGGCATTAAACTCTTCAGACATCCAGTTCCTATCACCACCAACATGAACAGTACTGACTCAGTAAGGTTTTTAGAACACAATATTACAAAACCACACAATGTTACACCAAACCACTCTGAATGACTTTGTTTATATCTTAGCCACTTAATTATGCAGAATTTTTGAAAAATTTGTGGAATTCCCCTTTAAACCACTTTAAAGACATGTAAAGGGTATTGAGTCTGCAGAAACCTGCTTAGAATGAATATGGCTATTGAAAGTTACTGTTTTTAATCTTGCCCTTAGAATTTCATCACTTTTGTAGGCATTTTTAAGACTCTTGGTCTAAGTCTCTGATGTTGATTGACCGTAGCACTGACCCTGATGGACTGTGTGGCCTGGTGAGTGAATAATATATGAGTTTACGAAGTAAATTGAATTCTTGTACTTTAAAAATGTGATGAAAATTCTGTTTTCACTGATAGGAGCCCTTTATGTCTCAGTATGTTACGTTATTTTAAAGAACACAAATGGGCGAAGCCACTCATTTCCTTAAAGTATTTCCTGGTTTCCTACAGTTATGTGTTTAGATGTGTTTTTGGCCTGAGATGTCACTGGGAAAATACCAGGGAGGGGGCTATTCTGTTTCTAGTGCGCATCGTCATATGAATATTGGTAATAAACCTGAGACAAGACAGAACAGAGCCTGTACGGTTTCTGTGTGAGTCAGTGTCTGTTAAAGTAGAAGCGTGTTAGAATATTAGAGTGGAGAGTCACAGGCGGCCTCTGTTTGCTGCGTGTTGTAAGGACAAGCTCTGGGGGATCTGATGCACTGAGACCAGGACAACAGAGGATAAACAGTTCCGTACTTCATTACAGAAGTGCAGTCTAGTCTAAAGTAGTGGGTAGACTGTGAGCTGCTGTTAGCAAGACTAGCCAAGGTAGCCCATAGCAATACAGCTAAAACATATATCATTTTCAGTATTTAGAGGAAAGTTTAGTCTGGGGTCTTATTTTTACAAATTTCTCAAAAAGTCAATTTTGAAGATGTAAACAAAGTTGTTCAGGGTGGTTTAATGTGAAATGCTCCATTCTAGAGAAATGTGCTGAGCCAGAATTGTTCACAGTGGTGGTGATAGGAACCAGATGTCTGAAGAGTTTATGCCTCTACAAGCTACATCATAATAAGTTATTGTATTAAATGGTTATAAATATGCTGTGTGATGCCTGAGACATTGTTCTATCATAGGTTTGATATAACCTTTTGTGCTACAATGTAACTTTTGTAATCCATTAATGACTGTTTAATGAATGCTGTTTTAAGTCTTAAGTCTTCATAATTAAATCATTGCGATTTAAAGTCATTCAAAATGCTTTCTAGAGAAGCTTGTTGAGTCAGAATTGTTCACAGTGGTAGTGATATGAACCAGAACTCTTAAGCATTTAATGTTTCGAAACTCTCCCTCACAGAAAGTGAAAGATATATGCTTATTTTGAATTTGATGCCAGCAACATGATTTTAAAAAGTTGGAAAGAGGCTGAGTCTTTCATAAGTAAAAATGTGGAGGGATTCACCACACTGTGAAAGACAGAACTTCATTTAATCATCTTCAGTACATAACATCATTAAAAGACTGAGAGAATCTGGAGAAATCTCTGTATGCAAGGAAAAAGAGTGAAAAAAAATATTGGCAGGCCATGAACTTCGGGCCCTCAGACAGCACTGCATTAAAATCAGATATAATTATGTAGTGGAAATCACTATATGGGCTCAGGAACACTTACGAAAACCACTGTCTGTGAACACAGTTTGTCGCTGCCTCCACAAATGCAAGTTAAAACTCTACCATGCAAAGAAGAAACCATACATAAACAGGATCCAGAAACACCTTCGCCTTCTCTGGGCCCAAGCTCATTTAAGATGGACTGAGGCGAAGTGGAAAAGTGTCCCGTGGTTCGACGAATCAAAATTTGAAATTCTTTTTGGTATTCATGGACGCTGCGTCCTTTGAACTAAAGAGGAGAGGCACCATCCGGCTTGTTAACAGCGCACAGTTCAAAAGCCAACATCTGTGATAGTATCTGGAGGCATTAGTTCACATGGTATGGGTGACTAACACATCTGTGAAGGCACCATTAATACTGAACGATATTTACAAGTTTTGGAGCAACATATACTGCAACGTTTTTTCACTGAAGTCCTTACTTATTTCAGCAAGACAATGTAAAACCACTTTCTGCATGTATTACAACAGCATGCCTCTGTAGTAAAAGAGTCCAGGTGCTAAACTGTCCTGCCTGCAGTCCAGACCTGTCACCTGTTGAAAACATTTGGCACATTATGAAATGTAAAAAAAACAAAAAGTAGACCCCGACCTGAGCCGTTGAATCCAATATCAAGCAAGAATGAGAAAACATTTCACTTTCAAAACTACAGTTCCCAAATGCTTACAGAGTTTGTTAATAGAAGAGGTAATGTGAAAATGGTAAACATGAACCCATCCCAACTTTTTTTAAATATTGCTGGCATCAAATTTAATCCCAACTTATTTGGAATCAGGTTTGTGCATCTCAGTGATTGAATTATTCATACATTTTGAAAAATCGGTGGAATTCCCTTTTCAGGTTTTGTGTTTAGTTTGTCAGCTGTTCTAAATTTGAGTTAATTCAATACTTTGGGTCAAAGTTTAACATTCAGTGATATTAACAGCCAAATGTATATACATTTTTAAATCAGTATATAAAAAGTCTAGTGCTTTATGGTGGGTGTATGACAAGAATGGAAGCTGTAATAAAGGCAAAGTATGGACACAAAATATGATATTAGATTTGTTGAGGCTTCTGTGTATTTTTCTGTTAAATGTGTTTCCTGTTTTTTTCCATATACTGAAAATCTAAAAACCTAAAAGGCTGTACTGTACACTGTTCAGGTTTCTCTTTCACACTCTTGCACAAATATGCACACGTTCACCTAATGCAAATATTTATTCATGTTTAATCCCAGTCACAGTACTAAGCCTGAGTGAAGGAGGAGCCTACATCCTTTACCTCAGCCTGGTATTCTTATGGGGAACAGTACTTCCTGCTAAAATAACATATTTGGTCTTTTAGCTACACCTCTTCTCCCTTTTTAGAATCATTTGCCAAATTAACAATTTTCATTATTTTATATGCAATGAATTATTGACTCCTCAGCATAAAGTTTATTCAATATTTCAAGAATTCAATAAATGCTAAATTAATATATAGTACTAATATATAATATATAGTACTTAATATATAAACTCATTTTTTTTAAGTTATTTGCCTTGAGATTTCACAACAGCTTGATGGTGTCCTACAAATTATTTGATAGCTTTGAAGTTGTACAGGCCTATTATAGCAGTAACATTTTACACATTTATCTGCAACCAGATTAGTTTATTGAAAACAGTCATTCCAAATGTTTTAAGGCTAGTGTACCTGTGTGATTATGAACTATAAAGGCAATTTTAAATCTTTAAACAAGATGTATAACAAAAAAATCAGACAAACCAAAGAAAATCTTTTAAATAAACATTTTATTGCAAGACATGATGAAACCAATCGTACATTTGAAATACAAAGAAACAGGGCATCTGAAACCCACTGAGTGGCTGGAAGGGAAGTTTGGGGTACAGCATATCCATATGCCACAAAATAATAATAAAAGAAAATCAAAAAACAAAACAAAAATAACCTCTGGAATATATAAAGCAAGAAATGTACAGTATATCTGTCCAAACCAGCCTCACACTCACAACAAATCATCAAAGGTCTTTAGGAAATCTAATTTATCGTCCCACGACATACACTGTCTTTGTCAGTTCAACCTAAAAAGAAGGGGTAACAACTAAATTAACTAGTTTTATTAAAACTAAATAAATCATTTGAATGAACAACAGTTTTAATTGTAATATTAATTGTATTAATTCTTTTAGTTCAATAAAACTAGTTAGCTTAATTACTAATCACTATATTACTTGTTACTACATGAAGTCATTGTTTTAACTGACAAAGCATTTTTACAGTCTATAGTTCATTCTTTAATTTCAGCCAATACATGTGATACATTAAAACCCTCCTATGTTAATTGATATAGCTTTATATACAAAGTTCAGTTTCACTTTATTGTGTTTGCCACCTGCTTCTGTAGAAGTATGTATTAAAATGTAGTGGTTTTAGTGGGGCAAAATGATTGGTTGGTGGGGCACTAAACGATCCCTTGGGACCATCAACCATTTCAGCAACAAACTGCTTTACAACTGGCTTTACAAATTAAAGTGTTTTTAGTATTGTGACTCTTAATTGGTTAATACTAAAACTAACCAATATGTTTTTGAAAAGCTTTTTGTCAAACCATGTGCAAAAACAAAATATTAGCTTATAGTTTTAATAGCCACAGAAACTGTTTGCAAATGTGCCAATCATTTAATTTTGCGTGTAGTTCCGTTTATTACTGAAAGTGCTACTGATTTTCTAACATGTTCTGTATGTAAGGCAGTATTACGCTGTAAAATTTCCTTTTTTCTTTACTGTATCACACATAAAATCTGTTCTCTGTTCTATATGGCTTTTTTGCTTAATACTTCATGTCCAAACAAATGAAGGTTCCTGATTGAGGAGAGGTGCTAGTGGATGTCAAAGATGGTTTGGAACTCCTTCTCAAACACTTCTTCCAGTCTGGATCCCAACTTGTCAAACACATCATTGCCCTACAGACAGGGAGAAAGATATCATAACATTTTGTTTTAATGAGTGAAAACAGTACTTAGGCTTAGGCTTAAAATAGGCAATATGTTTAGCCTTAAATTGAGAACATAGTAAACAAATAGGTTATGGCAACCAAATTATAATTTTAGATAATAAAAAACTTTATTACATTTATCATATTAGTAACTATTACAACGCAAAATACTACCAAGTCAGAGTCACAGTGCTGAGAATGATCCACTCCTCAAATGATACCTGCTCAGTGCTGGTCCTGTGGGGGTCCTGACCAGTGAGTAACAGGGTAAAAGGGGGCTAACAAAGTATGCAGAGCAACAGATGGTCTACAGTCTGTAACTGGAGAACTACTAAGTGCACCTGTATGGTAAGTGGAGCTGATAAAATGGATGAGTGTACATACAAGGTAGGTAATAAAGTGGCGTGTGAGTATATATAACATTATATAAACACCACACAGTATTCAGAGGTCATCTTGGGACACTTTTATCATCATTTATCTTTTACATTTACAGCACTCAAAAGTGCATAATTCCATATATATATATAAATCAATATAATGACTCAATAGCAAACTAGAAAATGTTCACCAAACCCCTAATTTTACTTAAAAAACGTTGGGGTACTAATCCAAAAGCACACACGTCATGTGTAAACCAGAGATGTCTGATACTACTTCTGAAAAGCCACCATCTAACTCACCTGATTTGCAATTTTATTAATGAAGGAATAAATTCTAACTTTAGCTTGGAAAGTAATAAATAGTCACAACTCATATAGTCATTATAAAGTCAGATATTAATCAGAGGGTCCCAAGACAATTTTAAGCAGTGTATATCATTAGAATTACTACAAATGAAGGTAAATCCAGTGAAGATTATTTTTGCTTTAAAAATATGAATATATCAGTTAAAAGAATGCAGTTTGATTCCTGACTTCTCAGTGCACTCACTCTAATCACTGTATCTTTTAAATTCAATCAGCAGCACATCAATTTAATGAAGTATTGATTAGATAAACTAGGTACTAGATAACTACAAATAATGTCAGGCTATCATGAAGAGAGGTTTGGACATGCTTGAATATGCACACTGACACACAAAATCAATATTTTTTGTATTAATGTTAAACACTTACTACCAAAATAAATAGCTTTTAAAATCTAAATTTCAAACTCTAAACACTTTTGCACAAAACTGTATATATAAATAAATTTTGTTGATTTTTGAAGTGGAAATTAGCAACAACCTCTGCATCAAACTATTTTAAAAAATAATGTTCTTCTGTAAATGTTATTATTTGCATGATTAACTTTAAAAAAAAAAAGAAAAAGGGTGGATATAAAAAATTAAGCTAACTGATGCCTACAAAGCAATAGAAGGCTATATAAAGATATTTCCACTGTGTAAAATGTTAATAGAAAATGGCAGTTAAGTAAAACTGTGGAATTCAAAGCAAAGAAGACCAAGAAAACAGAGCTGCTAGTATGCTGGCCAGAAATGCAAAGCAATACCCCCCCCCATACGACATGCAGCAGCATTTGATGAAAAGCACACCTTGCTAACTGTTAAGCATTGGAGCTGGATCTATTTTGCTTTGATGTGTGGCAGCCAGTGGCACAGGAAATGAGTAGATGGAAGAATGGATTCCAATAAATAAGTATAAATAAATATCAACAAATTATGGAAGCAAAAGAAACTGAAGCTGAAAAGAGGATGGCTTCCACAACAAGACAATGATCCAAAACATACCTCAAAATCTACCACAAACTACTTCAAGAAACGCCAGCTGAAGCTTTTGGAATGGCCCTCACAGTTGCAACACTGTTGCAAGTCTGTGGGTAGATCGTAAACATGCTGTGCATGCAAGACAGCCCAAGAATATTGCTTTCTGCAAGGAAGAGTGGGTGACAATTCCTAAAACAGGAGTAGAAAAACTCCCAGCTGTCTACAAAAAGCCTTTGCAAGCAGTGATATCTGCCAAAGGGGCCGTTACTTAGTACAGAATTAACAGGGTGTCTAAACTTTTACACATGACACAATTACTGTTTTTTTTCCCAAATTCTTAAGTGTATCAAGTGCTAAAAGTTTTATTAAATAAAAAATAATAATTAAAAAAAGTTAAATATACTGCAGAGTTTGTGTTCTTCTTTGTGAACTTTCTAAATCAACAAAGTACATAATTTGGCCAGGGGTGCTCGAACGTTTGCACAAAACTTTACATTGTTTGTATCTCACCTTATTAAAGTTGTGGCAGTTGCGAAAGATGAGCCTGACGTCAGACACAAACTGGTCCAGTGTTTTATACTGTTTGTTCTGCAGCTTTGTCTTCACCCTGTCCAGCCACATGGGGTCAGGAATCACTTTGCTGTAGCCTGAGATCTGCATAAGAGCAGCACAGAGATTGAAAGAAATGAATGAAAATGAATCCTGGCTTTAGTACAGTTTTCACTCATCAGTTTTCACTAAAAAAACACCATGTTCACTTTGTTTAATTGTGTCACACAGTTACATTTACATTCAGTGCACATGCTATAGTTGTATGCATAAGTTTAAACACCCCTGGACAATCAACACGTTGTTTATTTTCTAAGTGAAAATGAGTACACGTCCTCTACAGATAATACACTTATTTATGCCATTTTCTGCTAATTTTAGGGCACAAGTTAAACATATTGGGGAAGAAAGAAAACATAAAATAACGAAATGTGCCGTAACTTTTGCACAAGACACATTTTCTGCTTTTTTTTCCCAATATGTTAAATTCAGCAAATAAATAGTAACTGTGTTTTAAATTGGCCAGAAGAGTTCTCTGTAGAGGATGTATTGACTTATTTTTACTTGGAAAATTAATGTTATTTGACCAGGGACAGGCGCCAAAACTTTTTCATAGGACTGTACCTCTACAAATTTGAGTCAGACTTTTTTCTTTTACTTTGATGTCAAAAAAATGACAAAATAATAAAAATGTAAAGCATGTTTTTTCTTTCCGCAGAACAAGACTGAGTGCACAGTAATCACTTTCCTAATAGTAATACAGGTCAGTAATGGTATAATAGTGTGGACTGAACGTTCAGATCCTGCACTTTCCACAAAATTTCTCAGTTTGTTTTAATGAGTTACATTAAATCATCTTGATCTGCCGGTGCTACAAGCACTGTACTTTATGAAACTAGTGATGGTCTGAATGATGGACAGTGTAAAGAAAGGTGAATGTAAAGATAACTATATAAAAGTCTTAAAGTGACAGTCTTACTGTTTTAGTGGGGTCTCCAGTGAACACATGCTCTATATCCTCCTTATACATGCACAACAGCAAATACTGGCAATGCTGACAAAGAATCACACAAACACACAAATTTAGAAATGCTGAATATGAATGTGTGTAACTGTATACATGTGTTTGTATGTGTGTTTATCTGTGTTTACCAGAATATACTGAGAAATGGAACTGCCCAGAGCTTCTTCTTCAGTCATTTGTGTGGGCTGCCACCAACTTTGGTTAGCCTTCAACACACAGAAAGTGCACACCCACTTCTCTCTGCACAAACACAAAGACTTAAATTGAGTAATTAGCACATAACACTTGTGAAAAAGTATCGTTCTCCACAGGGGTGAGTAATCTGAAATTTTTTTATTATTACTGTTACATATATCGCAACATGCTTTTCTGAGCACATTGTGGATATTATCGGTTCTCAAAGATCACTGAAAAACTTACATGTAGTTTTTCAGTGTTGTACATTGTAGCCTTTCAACCATGATGGATGAATTCCAAATGTTTTACATTGACTTGCACTGAAAATAAGACCGTATCTGTTCTATCTAAGTACCCCTCTGTTTTGCGCATTCACGTCAAGGGGTAGGGTGTCCCGAATTTTGTTGAGATAGAGGGGTAGGGCGAAGTGTTAGGGCTACATGGCCCTCCAAACAGAGGTTTTTCAGAGGCTCCTCTGCTATCACTGCAGACTGGCGGTCTATAGAGCACCACTAATAGCCTGTTAATGAAGTAATGTCCTTCTTTATTTCAGAATCGTCCCATTTCATAGGGGAAGGTTTCAACCACTACCCCTTGTAACTCAAGAGGCAAGGTGACACTCGAAAACAAGGGGTGGGGTAAAAATAAGAAATGGGATTGGACCTTTGTCATATTTTCAATTCATTTTCAATGGCCCCCTAGCAATACCACCATGCCCCACTGGGAGACTGCGGCCCACAGGTAAAAAAAAAAACTGTTTTAGTGGACATAGTGTGGTTGAACTAACAAAATCTGTCCTGAGCAGAGTTTTAAAATCTTTTCCCCTCACCCCAGTGAATCGTCCTGCACAGCCGGTAAATGGCACTGATTATGGAAAGCTCTTGGACATTCATCACAGCACAGCAGGTCACCTTCAGTGTTACAGATGAAGCACTCATCATCATTATCCTGGTCCTGCTGGTTACACAAGAATATACAGATAAAAGAGCTGAAGCCAGAATAAATGCTTACTAAGGTAATATTGTTCTGCATATAATAAATGTTGGTAAATCTAACTCTTTTTTTTCAATGCATGAAATTAAAATTAGTAACAAAGTCATTCAATAAATGTATGATTCTGAAAAACAGTGATAATAGTTTAGTAAGCATGTACTAAAATAACTAAACCAACTTTTAAAAGTTATAGAAAAGTCCTCATGATAATATTGATATTAAAATCTCATGTTAGTGGTCACATTAAAGGTGTACCCCAAGGCTCAGTCCTAAGCCCACCTCCATATGTTTCGCTCCATTTGTTCTACTTAAAAACTACAGCAATTATAGCCATGAAAATTTGACTTTTTTACAGAAGATACAGCGCATCTGTGTAGCACATTATCACAATTTGTTTCAAGCAAGAAACGTATGTTTCAAAGATAGTGTATAAATGTAATCATTTCGTAGAATGGGACTCGCTCACCTGAGCCTGGTCATTAGAACTGCATAGACTACAAATACACAGCAGGGAATGTACTGACAGGATCTTCTTCTACAAGCAGAACATGTACATGTTAGTCTATATTTGTGTTTGTGAAGAATTATACATGAATGAATAAGCAAGAATCTTATGAACCGAGGTCATTTCCTACAAACTGTTAAAAATACTGTGAAAAAAGTTATCTGCGCACTGTGCATATTCGCTGATGTTTACTCTAAGTATGCCAGAAGGCTGTTTCATCTGTATGCAAATGTGCATTAACAACACCCTTGATATGTTGTTAAATGATGATATGATGAGTTGAATCAGTACATTTTGGGCTCTATTCTTACTTTTTTCATTATGTTTTCTTCTTACTTCCCCTCCATTGCTTATAAAGGTGTATGCAAAAGTTTGAACATTTGACCCAGTCAAATTACATGCTGTAGATTTTCTAAGTGAAAATATATGAACACATCCTCTGCAGGACACAAACATAAACATTTGTCTGCTCTTCCAGAGCACAATAAATACATCATCAGATATCAGTTTGAAATATCAATCAAATCTAAACATCTGTTTGATGCTGGCATTTTCCAAAAGCAATTATTTGCCAATAACGATATGACTATGATATCATCGTACATCCCCAAAAAAGCTATGAATATATGTTAAAATACAACATTTGTAAAAGTAACCTGTTTTAGAAGGAACAGGAACAAAACTTATTAGTAATTAACTATTACATACATACATACATCATCTAAACCGCTTATCCTTCTGGGTCGTGGTGGGGTGCTGGAGCCTATCCCAGCTGTCATTGGGCGGAAGGCTAATTAACTATTAGTAATTAATAAATGAATAAAAAGAATAATAGCATAATGGCTGAAATCCAGTCAGCTACCTGTCACTATGCAGTTTATGCAGTTACTGCACACTGTTTGTTACTCTCTATGTCTCTAAATACAATCATATACAAAATGTTTGTGCATCTCTGCTCAAATTGGATGTCTTGTTGATTTTCTAAGTGAACATAATTTAACACATCATCTACAGAGAACACACTTCTGCACAGTTTAATGCATAATTACTGTTTATATCCCGGATTTAACACATGAAATTTGCAAAAAAAATGAAATGTGGCCTGTGTAAAAGTTTTTTATGTTTTTTCCAGTACGTCAAATTCAGCAAATAAATAGATATTATGCCCTAAATTTTGCAGAGAAATGCCATATTTAAATTTGATAGAGGATGCGTTTATATTAACTTATATTCACTTACAAAATCAAAAAATATCTATCATTTGACCAGAGGTGTGCAAACTGTAAAATTATTAAAATCTCTTAGAAATCCAGCACTTTAGCCCTGGTAACTCATAAGTTAGAACAGTGAATGAATACGTGCTTTCCACCATTTTATTATCTCTCTATCTCTCGTATTACCTTCAGCAGGTAGTTTAATGTTTTGCCATGACACCGAATATCTTTCTTCCAGTGCCCGTCTATCAGCGTTAACTCCTGCTTCACAAACTCCTCCGGAGTGAGCCAGCACTCCTCTGTGCGAATGCTTTTACTACGTGACCCTGCAGAAGACCAACATACAGCTTTAGTGTCTAGTTTAGATTTCATTCTATAACTGTAAAACATTTCAAATATCATGTGCATCATGTTATACATACTATACATTAATCAAGTCAGACATGTATGGTGTTCAAATTTTACTCCTTTAGTTTAGAACTGCAGCTGCTAGGCTAACAAAGCGTTAAGTCAATGATCACCCAAGCCATTTTCATAAATACACGCCCTAATTCAGTTCATGCAGACAAGAACACAGTATGAATTTCCATTAACTACTAAAACAAAAACAAAAAAAGTAGCTAAACATGGGCAGCCATTTAGCATAACTGGACTCAGTCCATTCATTAGGTATCATAAAACTCAAGACAACCAAATATTATACCAGGGGAATTTACAACACAGGCACACTGTAGGGTAATGTAAGAGGAGAAGCTAAGCACTCAGAAAATCTATACAATCAATACTCAAACATATATGTCTGAACCTGAAAATGCACATGAAGAAATGCACCAGTTAGATGCTGGACCTACCAAGGACCTCCTCTATCTACAAATGACATGACAGAAGTAAGCACAATGAAGACGGAGAAAGTAAACAGTGCTTATCTCAGATTCATTGCTTTGAGGTGTCATCCATTAAAATCTATATAGTACAGCTGTAGATTTTAGAACATCCCACTGGATGCCCTCCTTGTAATTGTCAGTTGAAAAAAATCTATACCTGCATCATGTACATTTTTACAGATGACACCTTGAAGAATTGAACCTGGGTTAAGCATTGTTTACCTTTTCTCTGTCTTATAGTAAGCAAGCCTTAGGTATTACAGTGCTAACGCTAAGTACCTGCGTAGCGACATTTTACAGCATGGCCCTGCACTACAGAGACTTTGAATAAATACTCCCTTAATCAGTAATCAAATAGATTAGAGATTGTAATCAATAACCAAATAGGTAGTATTGGCTAACAGAGAATATTAATTCTCTCACAAAGGGTCGGCCTTAGTCTGCCTGCACAGGAGATTCTAGACACTGACAGGCCTGTGTGTACTTACTGACCCAGTGAAGAGACGGGCAAGTTGACCTTGAAAGGTAAAGCAGACTGGTAAAAACTTGCTGAAACCAGTTTTTAGGAGTGAGAGCAACATGAGATGGTCAAACTGATGGACAAAGAGATGCACCTATTAGATGAGCTAATATCAAAATTTGACAAGTAAGGTGGGGGGATATCAAATTACCCCAGATAAATGGTATAAACTGTTGTTTGGAACACTGTATTTGCGCAGTTGGGTCTCTCAAGACCCTGTGCCACCTGATGCTGAAATAAAGAAGAAGCCTTTTTTCCTCTTCCACAAAGTCAGCATCTGAAGACTCTTTCCTTTTTGACATCTTTTAAGAACTTAGACTTAAAACAGTTATTAGTGAAACTGTTTAGCCAGTATTAAAAGATTTCTTTTTATTCATAATATTATGTTGGAGGCCTGGGGTTGAAGGGGAAAGCCCTTGGTCCCAACAATACAATGATCCAGTTTTACCTCAAATGATTAAATAAGGTCTATCCAAGCTATTTTACTGTTATTTAAAAACTAGTTTACGTAGCTTATCAGTGCAATTTGAAGCACATATGTGAAGATGTTGGCATGTATGTATGGAAACGATTTGGATGACCGTTGAATTCCAGTGTCTGTAAGTACCGTAGGCCTAGCTACTCTATTTCTAAACTACATTAGCTAAATTTTGAAAATCAAATGTGTCTTGGCTGATTGATTCATCTGAGGTAAGTAGAAAATCACATAAACTTGATTTTGCGCTGGACTATTCTTTTAAGTGTTATAAAATTATAATTATAAAGAGTTTCCTCAACTATCTTTTTTCACAAAAGGCCACTGTTGGAGCTTGGAAGTGAGATAAAAAAATCCTTGTGCTGTCACACGATGCATATTAGTTTGCAAAAGAAAGCTGCAGTTTTATCTGGACATGGTTGTCTCTGTGGAGAAGGGTAAATTGGTTTCAGGGTTAGGGCTTCTCTCCCCTCCCCTTTTGCCCTTCATTGCTCACTAGCAGCTCAACATAGAGTTACAATATTTTACACTCAGAGAGCCAGATAGCCAGTGTGCTAGTTAATCTGATAAATGAGTTACAGGGAAAATATATTTTATGTTAATTAAATGTATTCAAGTTCATTTCTACTCCTTAGGCCACTAGGGAGCCTTCAGAAAGATGCTAAACAAATAGTTGAAAACTCCAACCTCCCTCTCCCCCCACCCCAGACGCAGTCGCTAGCCTTGTAGCTCCAGGGCAAAACTAAAGAAGCAAATTTCAGACACCTAACAAGTCAACTACAAAATGTGTACTAAAATGTATACATTAAGTTTTTGGCCAAACTATACAGACACCTACCTGAGGCAAATCTGCATTTATATAAAACTCCGCTGACAGAACCACACCTGACCGGTAAAGAAGGAGTTTGAAACAGAGATGGATCCACCGGTCCTGTCTCTCCTTCTTCTGCTTCATCTTCTGCTTCTGCTTCATCTTCTTCGCTCTCCTCCTCTTCCTCTTCGCTCTGCTCTTCCAGAACTTCTTCACCTGAATGCTCCATTTCTGCACTGGACTCTGAATCTAACAGACAGTGGTGGAGCAGCTCACTCACACTTGATCTTCTGAACAAACCTCACCTGAATCATTTTCATCATCAGAAAATTATCTGAGAGGGTTACATAAATAATCAACCCATTAACCCCTTAAACTCTAAGGGTCTGTATATGTCTGCACTTCAATTCCTCATACTCATTATTACATAACATGCATATTACTTCCATAATAGTTGCTGAATAATTAACCCCATAAAATCTCAGGCTTATTATATAGTATGGCTTAAAATAACTACAGGGACTTCAAGGCAAACTGGCTGAGCTATTCTTATATTACAGAAGTGTAATAAAGCTTTGGTTAATTTATTATTCAGCAGCAGTTACTGAATAATAAGTGTCAAGTAGGGATGCACTGAAATTTCGGCCACCGGAAATAAAAGGCTGAAAATTTGGACCGAAAAAAAAAAAAGATTAAATGGATCTACAGTGTCATATCATTTATCATAAATAGTGTTTGTGTACTTCGCTCTCCTAAACTGGTTAAAATGCACAAACAGTTTGAGTAGCAGCAGATCAACTGTACTGCATTCTACACGGTCTTAAACTTACATGCTTATTTGATTTAACTGATTTCATGAAATATTAATTAAGGGACATCATATAAATAATGCTGAGTAACTCAATATCTTTTGTAATAAAATTTTTTGTCTGATTCTGAAAGTTGTTAGGCAACCATGAAGTGTTATACTTTCATAATTTCACAACCTTTAATATTTAAAATTATTTAGCTTGCTATTTAAAATGAAATTAGTCCTGTAATTCTCTCAGTTCTCTTTCCCAACATGGTGATTATCGTCTTTGAAGCAAGTATTATATTAATTCAAAAGCATAAATAAGACAGCAAATTACATATAAAAGAACTCTTTCTTTCTGTTTTCGGTTTTAGGCCTAATTTTTGGTTTTCGTCAGAAATTTTCACTAGTCTTAAGATTAATAATTGAATAATAACCCTGCAATTTAAGAGGTTAAAGAGCGCAGGAAAAGTTTGGCATGTGTCTGTGTGTACTGACGAGGGCTGGAGCTTTCAGAGGAACTGACAGGAAGCAGCACTTGCTGACTCTGCAAGAAGAGAAACCAGCCATTATTTATCAGCAGAAATCCATCATGTAGAACTGGAAAGCCAAATATTAATATCAGCAAAAAGGGCAAATAACCTCTTTCACACAGCGTCTCTTTCTGAGTGGAGATTGTAGATGGCCGTCCTGAAACAGGGAGAAAACAGGGAAAAGAAATGTACATACAATACATACATATATATATATTTTTTTTTAGAAATGTCACAATTTTATATTCATTTTTGTCTCTCTCAGAAAAAAGTGAAATGGGCGCATAGTAAGAATGAGTGACATGACAAAAATATAACATCACAACACGTTTTAACATGTTTCATTTGATACAGTCTTATGCAAAAATGTGGGCACCCCTGGTCATATTGCATGTTTTGTTCAGAGCTCAAGAACCACTTATAATAATCATGACATGTCACAATACTGACAACTTAATGTAAAATTGTACATCCCTAGTGCAAATAACAACCGAAAATAAATCAAAACATGAACAAAAAGAACAAAGAGTGTTTTAATGTTCTGTTATAGACCTACAATGTGTACTTTAAGCACCTTATTTAATCATTTCTGTAGATTTATATGCTACTTTTTGTACTTTCTAGAATCTGTAGTTTACGTACAATGTACTTACCTTTATAAGTTTCTGCAGTGGAGTTTTTTGGCAGCGAATGGAGAGTTTCCAGTTCTTGCTTCTGCCCTTTCCTGCAAAATTCTCAAAGCTAGCAGGGGTGAACCAGCGGCGATTTGAAAGAATACACTTCCCTCCTACGTGAGTACAAAGTCAAAACAAAGAATCTGTACAAACAGTACTGTGCAAAAGTCAGAGACCACTGTTAAATTTAAATTATCCATTTTTCAGAGTTCAGATATAATAACCCACTTCCATTTTCAAGGGAAAATGAGTGAAAAAGCTGGAGTCCCAAAAATAATTGAGGCACACAGAAAAATAACACCTGTTAACAACTCAAACCGGTCAATCTAATAAGTGCTTTGTGATTGGTTAGAGGGCTCATCTGCATAATGCCGCCTTCTGCTATATCAACACTGCAAAAGGCGATGTCCCAATAAAGATTAACAAATCTTTGCTGTCCAAAAAAAAACCTTATCTCCATTGTCGTCAGTTTGTATTTTGAACAGAGCAGCTGTCATTTACACTGTGTGAAATTTTAATGTACATGGGCCAAAAAACTCTTTACAGTGACTTACACTAAAAATTAAGAATGTTTTTGCCTTCTCCTTTAAAGTTACTACTTTGGAGATATTTTATTTGGACAGCGACAAAATGATACTTTGTGCAGCCCTAATTTGAAGAGATAAGCCTATATAAAAGCAGAGCCATCTCTACTCATCTGGCATCTGCTGCCTTTAATGAAGCATGATACTGGACTGACATTGGGAAGTGTACCTCTGGCCAACTTGTCACGATAGAGAGTGCCTTCTTTATCTCCACATGTGACAGGTAGGTGACTTTTAAACAGAGCCCATGTCCAAATATCCCCTTTGTCTCCTTTCTTTGGAGAAGCTGAGAGAGAGAGAGAGAAAGAAAGATAAAAGTAAAACAAGACAGTATTAATTAACAACGCATAGACAATAAAATGGTAGGGTACGCCAGTACAAGTAAGGCTAGAGCAGAGGTCAGCAACCCAAATGTTAAGAAGAGCCATTTTGTCCTTTCAACAACCTTGGAAGCCACAACATTTTATGTACGTATTGGCTGTAAATATGTCTCAGTATGTGCTAATGTACTAGCACTATAGGCTAAAAAAGTATTATATAAAACACAGACTTACTTTGCTCTGCTTTAAGCTTTAGCTCAGCTATAGCCGCTTCTTTTTGCATCTCCGGCAGGAAACTTTTCCACAAAAGTAGAACAGTTTCTTGTAAAATGTCTCTTAATGTCGGGTTTGTTATGAGACTGAAGTCAGCTTCGCATTCGCCAGCCACTTTTTTGAATTCTCCTGTTCCACCTTAAATGCTGCTCTATTTAAAGTGGAATAGGAAAATCAAACAAGAAGCTGGCGCACGAGAAGCTGACCCCGTAACTTTTTAGCGTTTGACAGCTTCTCGGTGCAAATTAAACGTATCAGAAAACCAGCTGTTGCCGACCCCTGGACTAGAGGTTTGATCAACTCATCAAAACATTGGGGACAACTTTTTTCAAATTGGAATGTCCTCCATTAAACAGCCAATATCATTGAAAGCTCAAACAAAAGAGTTTTAGATGTAGTAATATAAACAGTGATAAAGTTTCACTCCCACAGTCAACAGGACGTATATGGAAACTAAGATGCATAAACAATCCATTTTAAATGTATTGTTTTAGTGATGTCACATTTACATACAACCACCTATTTAGCCAAATGATGGTTCACTCTGCCTAATGACATTGACTTTATAGGGACTGTTTCAGCTCTGGACGTTTTTTGAATGAGGTTTAATATAGGAGAGCCAATCAGAATAGAGAGAATGAGGTTTGGTATAGGAGAGCCAATCAAAATAGGGAGAATGAAGTTTATTATAGGAGAGCCAATCAGCATAGAGGTACGTTAAATATATCAGTCTTCAAAACAGAAACAAAATCAACCTGTTTAATTCTTATGGAAAAAGAGTTTAAAGATGTAAAAACGAATTACCTGCAAAAGTTTTGTTAAGATAAAACAGCTTTCTGCTAATCCTTTACATGTATTTGGGTATATTAAGCTTTAACACACATGTTAAAACCTTATGTTCATCAAAGTGTCTTCTCTGAAGAACACGATGAAGTATGTATGAAGAACAGCTTCGTTCTGAATAATGATTTGACAGAAGCACATCTGATCTAGGATCAGTTTTTGGTCTTTTGTTCTACTGAAGAAATTCTCCTGTATTCTGCTGATTTGGCTGCTGGAGGAAGCTGTGGTTACTCTTGTGCTTAACACAAATGGCACTATGTCACACACTCACAGAACATGAGCTTCTTGGCAGGTTTCTTCAGGTTGGGGGTGGAGGGACAGGATGGGCCCGGCTGCTCGTCCTCCTCCGTCTCCTCAGCACTTTTCTTTCTCTTTGTTCCTTTTTTCTTCTCCTTCGCTGTAGTTTCTTTGATTTGGGCTGGCTCGTTCTCTCTCTCTGTCTGACCAACTGGGTCAGGGAGATTCTCATAGACCCGGAAGGAGCCTGTGATGAAAAATACAGATAATCAGTCAAAATAAGTAAGTCAATAAGTAAGTCTTTCATTTTTTCTACAACTAAATATGCGATAATTAATGTAATATAACATTTTTCAGTCCACCCTACAGCTTCCATCCTTTTCAGAAGGCTTGTTTTTCATAGAAATCTATAGGGATATTTTTCCACACCTCCAAATTTCAGTCTTAGAAGTTGCATTTTCTGCTTTTTGCTTCTTAACAACTAAATTTCTGTTGAATTGTCTTCTCATGGTGGAAGGATGGACAGAAACACCTGTAGATTCTTCAAATCTGAATCAAGAGTGGAGCTTGATTTTCTCCTCCCTCTCAAAGATGAAAGCTTTTAAGATTTTGATGGTCTACCAGGTCTTGTGTGGTTGTTAGAAGCCTGATTTCTCTGTATCGTAATCATTTTTATAACTCCAGTTTTGGAAACTCCTGATTTTTCACTTGTTATTTCATTTAACCATTTTAGAGCCACATGAGAAAGAAATCTGAAGGCAGCTGACGTGTTCAGGTATATGCTTGTGTGAATGTCAGTGTCTGTTTGAAGGTTAATATAATGTCAGTGAGTTGTTTTTTTAAGATGGGAAGGCTGGAAGAGTTAAAGTGGCAGAAGGTGCACCAAAGTAAAGAGTAGACAAATTAATACCGATAGTTATAATATTATACTTAGGGTTGGAAGCTTTTGTATGATTTATAAAATATATTTTTCTGCTTTTGTCTGACATTGAGCATTGAATAACTTGTACTTAATGGTTGATTTACCTGGAAATTAAGTAACTGAATGGGGGTGTCTGACTCGTGCACAGTACTGTAGGTATTTTTTTATAAATTGAGAATGAAGTAATGTAAAAGTCAACATGCTAAGTGTACAGACCATCCATGAGGCTGTTCCTGAGCAGGCGGAGAACTGGGTACTTCTGCAGGATGTGGTCTTTGAATACACATGTCCAAAAGAGGTACACAGAGTCACTTCTCTCCTTCTCCAGCCAGTCCAAGATCTGATAAACACCGTCCTTCCTCTTCTCCTTACACCTCATCTTTACCACCTTCTACAGAGACAACACCACACAGAGACAAAGCAATAGATCTATAATAACATAAGCATTAGATGTTTATAGCTGGCTTATTTAGGAGGTTATAGTAGGAGAGACAATAATATATTAGACATTATTAGTATTAGTAGAACATATGTCTATTTTGAGACAACTGAATGCTCTCCAGTTTTGATATGGAGAAAAATGTATGATTTTTAAATTTAAGTTAACTCCACCAATTCTTCTGCAAAGTTAAATGGCCACGATGTAAATAAAGTCATTCAGAGTGGTTTGATGTGAGATGCAGTATAACAGCAGTAGTGATGGGAACCAGACGTCTGAAGAATTTAATGCCTCCAAAACTGCTTCACAGAAAGTTTTTTACCTGAAATAGTTACGAATGAGCTGCTTGATGCCTCAGACATTAGTTTTACAATGAGGTTTTGGCCTAGAACAAAACACTTTCATAGCACAGAGGTGGATGCAGAGTGTTCTAAGGCAAAATAGTCCACAAAGAAAACTTTTTTTCTTTTCCAAATTTAATATTATTTACCATTATTAAAATTACATATATACTCCCATGCAAAAAAAAGGCCAAAATGGCAAAACATTAAACTTACACAGGTCTTAAAAACAAATCATTAGCCAGTAAATTAGCAAGAATTTAAGAAGTAGATAAAGTAAAGTATAGGAGTTAGTATAGGAGCTGTTCTCTTTGATTTCTTTAAATGTTGAAGTGGGCAAACTTGCAGACAACCTTTTACAGAGAGTCTATATTGTCAGCATTGACGGCTTCAAACAGTTAAAAAACACTGCCAAGTTAGTTTGTGTTTTATGTGAGATCAACTGTTCTCTATAGGGTTTAAATCTGGACTCTCCCAGCCAAAAACCATTAGTAAAAACCAAGTATTTTGGGCTTGACCTTTATTATTATTATTATTATTTTTTTTTTTTGCACAAAATGCTATAAGCTCAGAACACATACGTAGGTTGACTTATAATTTTGACAAGTAAATAAATGTGGCTATATTTGTGTTGTAGTCATGGCGACCCCTGGTTCCCATCACCACCACTGTAAAGACGTCTGAGTCTGCAAGTTTCTCTGCAATGAACTGCTTCACATCAAACCGCACTGAATGACTTTATTTACATCTTAATGATTGAACTATGGAGAAATTTTGACAAATCATTTTCCCCTTTAACCTTACAATCTAACAGAAACTGAAGCAATGAGAGGATAACACACATTCCTATTGTTATTAAACATCATAAATTACAACTAAACTGCAGAGAAGTTGAAGACAGAAAGCTTTTTTACACATGCTAACTGCAGACAGAGAAAAAGACATTAGTAGACAGACTCTTCCTTTCTTTCTTGCCTTGTACAGTTTCTCTGGTACCAGATTATGGTCTCTCAGCTGGTGCAGGAATATGTTTGGCTCCTCCATGCAGGACATCTCCGTCTTCTTGCAGTGAAAGAAGCGAATGAGATCCTCCTTGTTTAGAAAGTCTAACGGATCCATCTGGAGGTTCGCTCCCATTCATTTGCCTGTTAACCAGAACAACAGCGCAGTGAAGCGAAGTTATGCAAAACAGCTTAATAACTCGAACCGTCTCGTGCAGTGTAGTTATATCACTAATGAACTGAGTGTGTGTTCTGCAGAGGCGCTCTAGAGGCCACCGTTATTTTTTCGTGTAAGTGTAAAAGCATGCGACCCTTTTCGTTTCTGAATTTTATTTCTTTTTTAGTATCTGTCTACCTCGATGTGCTCCCGAGCTGTGTACGAAGCCTCTCAAGCGTTAAATGAGGCGCGAAAATGAACGAACAAATCTGTACGAATCTCGCGCCTGCGCCGCTTCCGCTCTTCCGCAACTCCCAGCGGAAGTGTCAGTGTGATGTTTGGAAAACGAAACTAAACCAGAGCCGGTTTATGATGAGCCTGGCCACGCCCCATTCCTCCCGTCACATCAAAAACAGTGAGTCCTCAATGAATGGGAGTGAATGGAGCTCAACGGCTAAAAACGAAAAGATAAAACAGTTTCTAATCACTCAGAACGTTTGTTTAATTTTAGACAGTAGAAGGATGTATTTCACTAAAAAACAAAGAAATCTTACCTATATGTTTCCCTTTTTCTACAGCAAACAGGTCTTGGGCAGCAGAAGGCTGGTAATACTGCTTGTGAGCGCTGATTGGTTGGCGAGCGGAGCAGCTCATTGGCTGTTCTCGCTCACTGACGTCATGGGCATGTCTGAGGTGTAGATTTAAACTCCTATAACTCGAGTTTAAAAGCTCTTAAAAACATAACAGCAGTGTTAAAATGTTTTATGCTAGTCATTGTTCAGGAAATTATTGTATTCTTTTACATTAAAAATGTTTAAGCATTTATAAACTATGATTTTGCTCAAATGCTCCATATCAACCCATTCATTTTGGACTCACTCGGGAGCGCCCTCTAGCGTTTGAGAAAACCGGAAGACATTGCAGAGTGGTAATTCTCCTCTCTACAAGTTCTCTGACTAAACTGCTGTCGCGATGCTGCTGTTCGCCACTAGGGGGAGGTGTTGAGTCAGCTTGGTACATATTACCACTAGAGGGCGGTGTTGAATCAGATTGGTTCATATTACCACTAGAGGGCGGTGTTGAATCAGGTTGGTTCAGTTCACTGGTCCAGTTCATTTCATATTGTTTCAAATTCCCACTGGACGAGCCTGCGGACAAACCATCTTGGCTTGAAACTTTCCCTTTACCTTAAGTGAGCTTCGTAAAATCTCTTCAAGCAAATGTTCAAGTACAAAGTGAAAAAATCCATAATTGTAAATTCAGTGTAATTTTCAATTAAGTGTACCTTTCACTTAAGTTTTTGACAGTGTATTAAATGTAAATGTACAGCTTTAAATGTATGCCTTGAGCATTTAACTTAAGATAAATACTTAAGATGTTTTATGCAAGAGGTTACTGTTTCGTATTACCACTAAAAGGCTTGGTAATATTAATCAATTAATCAATTCAACCAGCGTCTGACGATCCAGTGCTACACAGCCATCATCGAGTCCATCCTCACCATCATCCATAACCACCTCACAAGAAGGAGCCATAATCAGGACAGTGGAGAGGATCATTGGATGTATCTGTCAACGTTTCAAGCCACTCCGATAAAAGATTCAGGGCCATTAAAACCAGTACAACCAGACATGCTAACAGCCTTTTACCCAAAGCTGCAGCTCTTATTAACCACAGTGGACACTTTGCACTTTAAACCTAAACTGAACCAACAAACCTTCCTTATGTATCACAGTGTAACTCCTCCTGCGGCAGAATGCTTATTTGCACTACTGTACAAGTACATTTTTACAAATGTTCTTATCGTATAGTTCACGTCTACTTGACCTACATTTGTACAGACATCCATATCTGCGTATGTACAGATATCCACACGTCTCATATGTATCTCCTGAGCTCCTTTCACATTGGTTGTTTTTATTATCAATTCTTTATTCTATTTTCTATTCATTGTAATTTATTTCACTTTAACCTTGTATATTCTGTGCGCTGCCTGGTCAGGTTAGTATATTACATGTCACGCAGTGTGACTCACCAAGACAAATTCCTTGTATGTGTAACATACTTGGCGGAATGAAGTGATTCTGATTCACTGTTGGACCAGATTTTTCATACTGCCACTAGAGGGGCAGTGTAGGTCCAGTTTGTTTCTCAATGTCATTAGAGGGTGATGTTGTTCCGTTTTTGTTTTAATATTACCACTAAAGGGCAGTATTGGTCCAGTTTGTTTCAAACAATAACCAGCTTGCACTGTTGGTCCAGTTTGTTTAACATTGCCACTAGAGGGCGGTGTTGAACCAGATGGGTAAACACTGTCAGACTGGAACTGTTGGGCAGAGTGGTTTGTTTTGAACTCATATCTTCCAGTCGGCTGATCATGCTCATGCACTTTTGACTCAAAAGAAGAGAGAGAGATGAAAAGATGTGTCTATAGGAGGCTGCAAGTTACTCTTCAGCTGAGAAATGATTTGGCCAATTTAGGCCACAGCTGGTGGTGCCTCTCTACGCATATTCTCATCTGAAAATCTGTTTTCCGTAGTAAATCTACCAAAATTTAATTTCACTGAATAAAACCAATCATTACTACCTACCAGTAATCACTCTCATGCAGTGATGTATAATTTTAGTAGATTGGTACTTTGAGATTTTTAAAAAATAATACATGTACAGTAATAATAATACATGCAGTACAGGTAAGGTATATTTGTGAGGAAAGAAGTTTATTTTTCATTCACTTCTATTTTGGTCCTATAATATTACCAGCTTTAATGCTTGTTAAAATTGATTAATAACATATTGTGACAGAAATAATTATTTTGTAATAATTAATTATAAAGCTAGTAACTTCTTACCACTTGACCGTTTTAACGTTGTATAAGTGTGCTGAAACACATATTTAATATTACAAACATTCAAACATCTTTAAAATGTAAATCAGAAAAGTGATTAAAGTCAAATCTGTTCCATATTTCATTTATTTATTTGACAGTAAATTATTATTTCAGTTTTGGTGAATGGAAAGAGTAGCTTTCATAGATCTATGGATTTATAGAGCTTTTTTATAGATTACAGAGTTATACTTGTGAAAGAATGTAAAAGAATCCAAAACAATCCATGGGAAATACATGTATATGCATTTACAAGCACTGTTATATAGTATTATAAGTCATAATTTAACTGTCATTTAACTTTATATCCAAACATAAAGTGTCTAACAAAGAAAGGTATGTTTCAACACAATATATGTACAGTATTTATAAATGACACCTTAACTACAGTACAGCAACTAAGACACATAAATATAATGATTATATATCCATAATAGAGTGGTAGTTTTTTCCAGAGCCTTCCTGTTGGGATTTTAGAAAATGGGGCCTTATTGACACTTTTTTTTTTCGCAACAGTTTGGGTGAAGTAACTTAGGTGTTAGATGAAGGTCTGTTGAGGAAGACAAGTCAGCAGTCCACCATCTTCTGGTTCCAGTTTTTGGGTTCTTCACTGGCTCATGTTTGGGTTGTCGTAAGCATGCATCTGTCTGTCCTGCACACTTCTCGAACTTCCGGATGACCCACCACTTTGTTCATTTCTGACCTCTGATTTCTTAGAGCAAATTCCAAAGAAAGAGAGGAACACCGGTATGAATACGAGGCCATGCAGCGCCCCAAACAAGATGACTAAAAACATGATCTTAAAGAACGTTCGGAAAATGTAGCTCTGGGCAGCAGCAAGAACAACCACTCCAGCAATTGTTGAGATGGCTCCCTGTATTATAGGATAACCAAGATTGTACAGCGCATCAATAACTTTACCATTGGATGTTTCAGCATCGCTTGAAACACAAGCGTAGGAAATGTGAGCGGAGAAGTCTACAGAGAAGCCAATGCAGATGACCAGGTTGATCATTGATATGGAGTCTAGGTTAACGTCCCACAGTGTCATGAAGCCAGCCACGCCAACAATAACAGAGGCGATGGCAAACGTCACCCACAGTGAGCACAGTGGATTCGGGATTAACAGGAGAGAAATGCACAGCATGACCAGAGTGGCAACTAAAACATTCTGGATCGTGTTGCTCACAATGACAGCGTACTGATCAAAGTAGATGAAGGCAGGGTGGGACACCAATAATGGAACTGAACAGTCTTTAGCAGTCTGTCTGAAAGCGTTCAACATTTCCTTTTCGTCAACTGCTGTTCTGATGTTTATGGTCTGGACAAACAATCGAGAGGCATAGATTTGATCCGCAGTATAATTAACGTTAACATCCTGACTGAAGTCAGAGGCCGCAAGGAATGGCCGTAAAGATCTCATGAACGTGGCCTTGTCTGAAAGATCTAAATGTACTTTCTCTCCAAAATCCAAATAGTAATCGAGCCAAAATACAGTCATGTTTTTAGCGACCATTTCTAGCTTTTGAAAACCTTCGAGACAGCCGTTTAGCTCTTGACGAGCACTTTCGCTCCAGTACTGAAAGGAGTCATCCTTAATGATCACCATAACATTTGGGCCAAACTCTGAAAAGTACTTGTCTTCATTGTCATAATATTTGCCTACGTACGAGTTATCGGGTGCTAAGTTTTTCAGGTCAATTCCTTCCTTCATTTGTGTACAGCCGTAGATACTACTGGCCAGATAAGCAGCATAAATCAGTATCACAAAAACTTTGGTCCAACACTTTGTCAAAAATGGCCCATAATACCTCTTGAAGAACAAGTTAATTGGCATTTCTTCTTCGGTATTTGTTTCAAGATCGTAAGCGCCCCCTACTGAGCAGATGTTGTTTTTCGAGTTTGGTTTTGGTGGGTCCACGACCATGCAGGTCAGCCAGTGTCTGTTGCTCTTCTCTCGCCTCCCGTTGAGTGCCAGAAAGGCACCAAAGAAAGTGATGTTGTAGATGTAACAGAAGAGGATGGCCGTGCCGGTGTACGCGCAGAAAGACTGGACCGATGGGAAAGAGGACATGAGGCCAATGTAGAAAGCCAGGACGTCAGTCAGCGTGGTGATGGTAATGGACACCGCTGCCTCTTCATATGTTTTTGCCATACGCTGTTCAACTTCCTCATGAACATTAGTCTTCTGCCAGCATGAGATCATGATGAACATGTCGTCAACACCAATCCCTGATCAAAACACAGTAAAAGTAACAGCTTGACCAAACATGCTAACATGGCTAACAAAGAATGGAATCTGATAGCCACCAATTATCATGGTGCCATTAATATAATGCTAAATTGTGGCTTCTCACTTTCATTCATTCAACTTTAGCATTATGATTAAAATCTCTTTAATCCCTTTAATTATACAATAATTCTACTAACTAGTTATAGAAAATAGATTGTTTTCTTGTTTTTCTTTACCCAGAATCAGAAAGGGTGAAGTAGCAACAGTCATTGCAAAGGGCATCCCGCAGAGTAGAAGTAAGCCAAAGCTGGACAGCACAGCCAGGCCTGCCGAGAGTACGCCGAAGGTGGCTACCCACACCTTGTTTCTCACACAATCCAATCTGTAGAATAAAGAATAAAGACAAATGGAGTCCAATGGAGATAAATGAAAACTTATTCTACCATGAACTTAAATGAGGTGAGGAATTGAGTTTAAGCATTATAGGGTTATGTAAAAGGACAGTAAAAGGCTTAAGCAGCAGACCAGTTCTAAAGAAATTCTTGTTATAGTTTACATTAGGGAGAATGTTTTTATAAGGGGCCACTCTTTGGTCTCAACTGAACTACTGAACTAGGAGGAGGGATTTCAGGCCTGTTCTTCCCTCAGACCTCAGTTATAATGTAACTACATTAAGATGCACATTTTTACATACTGTCTAGATATCTTAAAGCACAGCGACAGCGACTCAGTATGCACATACTTTTACCAAGAACTGTCGATGCACACTGTTAGCTCACTGATTGGCTAAGGGAAGTAACAGTCATTGCTTAGGCCACCCTGACTGCTCTCAAACCCTTCATTAAAACCTGTGCATAGACACAGATAGCAGCTGTAGTTATAACAGCTTGTACATTCTTAAAAAGGATGGTGCTTCAAGGGTTCTTTAGTAAAGAAAATAGTTCTTGAACACTCAAAGAACCCTCTGCATGATTAAAGGGTTTTTGCACCATGAAAGGGTTCTTCAGATTGATGGAGAATGTGCTGAATGTTCTATATAGCACCCAAAAGGGTTCTTGTATTGTTAAAATGTCAAGCTTATAACAATAGAAGAGCCATTTTGGGTGCTATATAGAACAATTTTCGAAAGGTTCTATTTAGAACAGTCTATAGCACATTTATGCACATTTGCCATCAATCTGAAAAACGCTTTCCTAATACAAACAACCCTTTAATCATGCAGAGGGTTCTTTGAGTGTTCATGGTTCTATATAGAACCATTTTCTTTACAAAAGAACCCTTGAAGCACCATCTTTTTTAAGAGTGTAGTTTAGCAACTGTAACTATACATGTGCACATACCTAATATCCCAAGATTTAAGGGAGGAGTGAAATTTTATCCATTACTTTAACTGAAGACACAAGTGTAGAAGGGTAGGATGTGGGTTAAACAGTGTGGAACACTGTATTACCAATTAAACATGAGAGAAAAAGACACATGTCTGTGTGGCTAAGTTAGCTAACTAGATATTCTGGCTGGATATTGAAGTCTTTTTTTGAAAACTCGCTGGATTTAGTGTTATGTGTAGCTAAATAAATCATGGAATTACATTAAAATGAAGGAATTAATTGGTTGAAAAATATAGATGCATTTTAACAGGTAATGCACTGCAGCTTTTTGTGAATGGACAGCCTGAGTAAATCCAGCCCTTAACATCCCTGTGAAGAGGAGGGGAGTGGGTCTCCTTACTGTTTCCACCTGTGTGTACTTTGTTACCCCTCTTTCTCCATACGTTTCTAGTCTTATGTTTGCGATGAGTAACCCTCGTGTTTCAGTTTGTATTTGTCTGGTGTTGCATTAACTTTGCTGTGTTTTTTTTTTCTTTGTTTCCCGGTTGTTTTGATAGTTATAGTTGATGTGTCAAAAAAGCAGGATAATGTATGTGTTGTGAAATATGGAAATTGAGTAGGACAGTCAGATAAACACACTGATGTGATGAACAGAAACAAGTCATTTATGCAAATGTTAGTGCATCATCCTTGCTTACCTTAAACATGATATAATTGAGATGGCAATGGCCAGGAAATAAGTCACAGAGAAAAACGGGAGCACCGTTTTTGGGCTCTTCTTGAATTCCTCTTGTCTGGACACTGAGGTGAAATACGATACAGATAACTGTCACACCAAAGAGGAGGAAAAAAAACACACCACAAGTCTACATCATTAACAGGTAAAAAGATATATCATAGAAAGTCAATACATGAAATAGTTGCCTGATGAGATATTATAACAGTTCTGAGAAGGTTTTAGCCTAAACTGTTTTCTTTTAAATGCATACAAAGTGGAGAGATAACTGCAGGGTGGTTTGGGGCAAAATAGTACCAAAGAAAACATATTTTACAGATTTTCCCTCTTTTACCACCATCAACATTACATAAAACAACTCAGAAGACACGGACATGTCCCCTGGTCATTGTGGAGGGTAAATAAAATAGCTAATCTGCGTTGTACAAACTCTGGATCTTTTCACCAACATTGTAAAAAAAAAAACAACATAGAAGTCAGTATATCTCTACACAATGAATTATTTCACATCAAACCACTCTAAATGACTGTTTACATGTCAAAGACTGAATTATGTGGAAAGTTTGAAAGTTTGCTTTAAAGTGTTGCTCTTAGTCATGCCTTCTTTGTCACAATTCCATTACCAGACACCTGAAGAGTTTAATACCTCTTTTCAGATTTGCGACTATTTTACCATAATTAACGTTACATTTTGTTGCTGTTGGAACAAAACATCTCCAAAAACTAACTTTACATGAGAAGCACTAAAGAACATGGTTAAAAATAAAGGTTCTGTGCAGGTACATTTTTCTTTCATCAAGATACAAACAATGTAAATGTTCCCTCAAAGGTACAACACAGGTTTTAAGGTCCAATTGTGAACCTTAAATAGGTTTTTTCCAGGTGAAAAGTATGTGTTTGTACCTTTTCATAACCTAATGTTTTAAAACAGAACAATAAAATAAAAAGCCTGGATATGAGACGGGGTGTGTGGAGTCAGTACAACTTATAAATATTATTTCTATAGATAGATTTACACTAGACACAAACATTTCAATGTTTCTGCTTCCATTATCACAGACATGGCTCAGAGCTGGACCAAATTATGGTATACAGTATATCATTACTGTCCAAAGAACCTCAAGCATCTCCAAAATGGCTACTTTACTGTAGAAGGCAAAACACTCTTTGATTTTAAGGTAAGTTAATGTAAAGAGATTTTAACCCAAGTAATCATGAACCATTAGTTTATTCAGTTCATCAGCACAATGTAAAGGCCAACTGCCTTTAGGGCTGTCATATGATATATGACAGCCCTTAACTTAGAGGATGCCATCCATTGGGCCGCGGATTGGTACCAGGCTGTCATGGATCATTAGATACCAGGCCACAACAATACAGCAGTGCTCAGGGGGAGTTCATAACAAAACTCCTAAAATATTTTCACTGTTGCTGTATTACAGATGCAGTTTTTCTACTATATCGTGTGTAGTCACCCACATATTATCATTGTCCAAAGACAAACAAGTATCTCCAAAATGGCAGCTTTACAGCAGAAGGCAAAACTATTCTTTACTTCCAATGTAAGTTCATGCAAAGAGATTTTATTTCAAATAAGTTTGGAGCCTTTCTGTTGGTGCAATCACAATGAAATTTTCACACAATTTAAAGGGCAGCTGCTGTGCTCAAATGATTATGAATAGATGTAGTGGATATAGTTACTGCATGTGAAATAGAGAAATTTGAATATTAGTACTATTTGAAGGTTTACTAACAAATGCACATACTTATACACCTAAACATTATACCTACATCAGTAACACTTTATTTGAAGGCTATGTGCATAGCGACTTCATGTCACATGCATTTCAAAAGCAATACTTGAATATTTACACACAACATGCCACTACAGTACAGCAAATGACACTATATTGACATTAAGAGGCCTTAATTAAAAGTGAAGGGTGAGCTTACAAGGCCAGGGTCTATTTAAGAACACTATGTGCTTTATCAAAGATCTCTGATAAAAGATTTTAAACTTCTGTTACATTTTTCACACAGTTTTTTGTGTATATAAATATTAATGGTATGTGCATATAAAACAACACTTGATTTGTAGTAGAAATACTCCTATAATATAGTTCAATGTATTATATAGAAAGTAGCAATCCTCTGTCTATGTTGTATATTTATACTACAGAAAGTTGTGGAAAAAATAAATTGTTACATATTGTTTCAAAGTGTTACATCGTCTATTTTGATGAACAATTTCTATAAAGGTCAACCTGGCTGCAGACAGGTCAGTAGTTTGTGTATCTAGCCACACAAGTCTCCTTAATAAAAACTACACAGAACTGATCTGTTCTGGCCTCTATCTCGTAAGTTCTATTACGTTTGAATGATGCTTCATAATAGTGCCATAAATGGAACAGAAACCCATCAGTTTAGTTTACGGCCCTTTATGTCAGTACATGCCATTTACTTCATAAAATGGCATGACATTGCTGTCGAAACAAAACCGCGTATCTCCTAAATAGTAATGTTACAGGAGAGGGAAAAACACATTCTTAACTTCTAATATAAGTTAATGTAACAAGAGTTTTTTCAAGATAATTTCAGAGCATTTCTATTGGTCCATTCATTATTAAATCTGAACACAATGCGAAAGGTAACTGGAGTTTTTAGATAATGTTGAAAAGTTAAAAAAATGACAAAAATGGAGCAACTATATATTAATTACAATTACTGTCATTAGCTGTCCATAAATTTTCAAGTATTCCTGTATAAATACATTATTCAGTGCTTATGCATGTGTTATGAAGTTAGTATGTATTCTAGTGTTTTTGGAAAGGCTTACTGTTTCAGAAATCAGCTCCTCCGAGAACACGTTCAGAAACTCAAGCAGCCATTCATCCGTTTCACTTGTGATGTTGTCTTGCAGGAAATAATAAAGCCTGATGGCTTCTGCACTTTCAATTATCTGGCTATCAGGTTTCAGAGTCACACCACCGACTTCAGTGCCCAGAAAAGTGTCATTGTTAAATGGGTAGTTAATCATGGTACTTTGAATTTCACTTGCATTGTAGTTCACAGCATCTAAAATTGCATTTGTAGCACATTTTCCACCTATTTTGGCACAAAGGCTCTCATAAGACAAGACATTATCTCTTGCAGTGATGTTCTTAACTTTTCTGTCCAAGTTGATGATTTCTCGGAAAGCGTCAACTGTAAATATGTTTACACTGCTTGTGATGATTAGCGATGCGTATGTGCCATCGGTGTAGAGCCGCAACTGAGAAAAGTCCCCTGAAGTCGGAAAATTGTCTTTCACAAATGTCCTCTCTGCCTTCGCAGGGCCGTCTCTTGGTGTGAACTGGTCCTCGATGTCATTCGCCTCCCTCTCACGTATAAAGTAGAATCCGCCACCAAGACCACCTGCTATAACAAGTGGCAAAACTAAAAAATACCAGGGATATTTCCCCAGAAAATGTCCAAGTTTCTTAAACCCCAGAGAGAGGGGCTTTTCTATACAGTTTGTATTGCAGTTTTTCATTTTGATGCTGCTTTTCACTGCTAATCTATCCTCCTACTTCAGCTTCTGTCTTCTGTGTCTACTCTCATTGTGCAGAAAGTAAAAGCTTTTGCCTGTGGTTAAACATTAACAGATATTATGGCTTGATGGTATGAAATGCAGGTCATAATGATTCTGTTTGTCCAGGTAAAATAAGCTTACGTGCATCATTAATAGCCCTTTACAGTTCTTCTCTGGAACTGATACATTATCCAGACGTCTGTGGGTGTTATTAACAAGGAAGTAAGGCATCATTAACCAGGTGATGTAAGTGCAAAGGCTTTTGTGGGCAGCGATTAGCTGTAGTGGCTGTTACAGTGATGAGAAAAAGCAGGGAAAAGTTTTCAACGTCCTCTGGTCCATATGTTCTCTAAGCTTGCCTGAACATACTTACATAAGAAAATGTCACACTGTCCCCATCAGATAAACAGCACTTAAAGCTTTCATCTTTGAGAGAGAGGAGAAAATCAAGCTCCACTGTTGCTTCAGATCTGAAAAATCCACAGATGTTTCTGTCCATCCTTCCACTGTGAGAAGACAACTCAACACTATGAGTCTGATAGTATGTGTATGCCCTTACTGAGAAAAGCAAACAGACAAGTCAAACAAAGAAGCTGCTGGTGGTGAACAATGGACTGACCACTGTTTGGGATTACTTGGATGGTTAAAAGCAGAAAATACAACCAACTTCTAAGACTGAACTTTGGAAGTGTGGAAAAATTAAAAGGAATAGAAAAAGCAGAAGACAAAAAGGAAAAACGTGCCCTTTTTCACAAAAAAACTGTACATTTGAGATGTGTAGTGTGGTTTTATGGACTTTATTACTTGTAAATAGAAAATGCAACCAGTTTCTAGGGCTACACTCACATTACCAGGTTGAAGTGGCACAAGTCCGATTTTTTGCCCTAATGTGACTCAGATCTGATGTTTTCAGGGCTGTGTGGATACAAATTTGATCTTTTCAAATCCGACCTGAGCCACTTTCATATGTGGTCCTAGATCGGGCATGTATCCGATTCGTGGCCATGCGACCTTAATGTGAACGCTCTTGTAAATGTAGCCTCAGACTTTCTGTGGAAGGTGTGGTAAAATATGTCTGCAAAACTGAGAGCCTGGAAAAAATGTAAACTGTAATAAAGGCAAATTATCTACAAACTAAATGCTGAAATATGTGATGGAATATTAGGTGTTGCAGTTTTCTGTTAAATACAAGTTTTTGTTTTTTCACTGCTGCCAAAAAATGTGTTCTAAAGTTCTAGTTTTGACATGTTAAATAAATGAAGAGTGGTCTCTGACTTTCACACAGTACTGTGATCAAATTGCAATCATGCATGTAATAAATAAACTCAAATGAGTAAGGCCTACTCATTACTGTAACCACACTCTAGACTTAATACTGAGCTTAGGTATAGACATTAAGCATTTGGCCATCCTTCCTCAGACCACAGCAGTGTCAGATCACTACTTAATCTCATATGAAATCAGTTTTAGTCATAATATATGTTCATCCACACGCTATAGTGTTAAACGTACTGTAACATCGTTTACACCCAATAGCTTTATTAACAACCTTCCAGATCTTTCATCCTTAATTAGTTGTCCGTCTGAACCTAATGAATTAGATATGCTGACAAAATGTTTTGAAGACACTTGTCGCTCTACTTTAGATAATGTGGCTCCATTAAAAAGTAAAAGAATAAGGCAGAAAAGGCTCGCCCATGGTACAATGACCATACTCGAGCTATGAAACAGACTGTTAGGCGATTAGGCGGTTTTCCAATATGCCTGAAAGGAGAGTCTTATAGACTATAGAAAAGCACTAAAGTCAGCACGTTCAGCCTATCACTCGTCATTGATTAAAAATAACAAGAATAATCCTAGGCTACTATTCAGTACTATCTCTAAATTGACTAATAATCAAGCAACTACTGAAGCCCAGATACCATCAGCCTACAGCAGCATTGACTTCATAAATTTCTTCGATAATAAAATTGAATCGATTAGGCACAAAATTCAAAATGCGCAACATTGCAGTGCAGTGTCCTATAAACCTAATCTAGATCTAGAGTGCAGAGACGCTGGAGTCTTTTACTTTACGCCAACAAACAGAGCTTGTCCAAATTATTTCATCTTCAAAAACAACAACTTGTATACTGGATCCAATTCCTACAGGTTTACTTAAAGACGTTTTGCCAGAAATAACCAAGCCTTTTCTATCTGTAATAAACTCTTCTCTCAGCTATGTTCCAAAATCTCTTAAATTAGGTGTAATTAAACCCCTAATAAAGAAACCTAGTCTTGACCCCTCTGAGTTATCAAACTATAGACCTATTTCAAATCTTCCCTTTTTATCAAAAATTTTAGAGAAAGCCGTGGCAAAACAATTATGTTCCCGTCTGCATAGAAGCAATATACATGAAAAATTTCAGTCTGGCCTCAGGCCTCACCATAGTACTGAAACAGCGTTAGTGAAAGTTGTAAATGATCTTTTATTATCCGCTGACAAAGCAAACATATCCTTACTGGTTTTACTCGATCTTAGTGCAGCTTTTGACACAATAGACCATTCCATTCTATTAGACAGGCTTGAAAAACTAGTAGGAGTGACAGGTAAAGCTCTTTCGTGGTTCAAATCTTACCTTAGTGATTGCTTTGAGTTTGTTCATGTAAATGGTGAACCATCAGCTCTCACAAGACTAAAGTATGGTGTTCCACAGGGCTCTGTCTTAGGACCCATATTATTTACCTTATATATGCTACCACTGGGTACCATCATTAGAAAACATGGCATCAGTTTCCACTGCCATGCCGATGATACACAATTGCATGTTTCAGCTAAACCAGAGGACAAAATTGAACTTAATAAGATAGAGGACTGTGTAAAAGACATTAAAGACTGGATGTCATGTAACTTCCTCTTACTAAACGCGGACAAAACAGAAGTTCTTCTTCTTGGTCCAGTAGCTGCCAGGAATAATCTGCCTATGTTAATCTCGATAATTTCTCAATTACACCAGGCACATCTGTAAAAAGCCTTGGTGTAACGTTCGATCCCGATCTGGCCTTTGATGAGCATATTACCAATATTACCAGAACAGCTTTCCTCCACCTTTGTAACATCGCTAAATTAAGAAATGCACTGTCGCTACAGGATGCAGAAACGTTAGTTCACGCCTTTATCACGTCCAGGTTAGATTACTGTAACGCTCTGCTTTCTGGTTGTTCCAGCCAAAACCTTAACAAGCTTCAGTTAGTCCAGAACGCTGCAGCCAGAGTTCTCACCAAAACCAGGAAATTCGACCACATTAGCCCAATTTTGTGTACCTTACATTGGTTGCCAGTTAAATTCTGCATTGAGTACAAAATTCTTCTGCTAACGTATAAAGCTTTGAATGGCCTTGTTCCTCAGTACCTCAGTGACCTTACAGTGACCACTTAGATCACAAGGTGTGGGCTCATTATTAGTACCCAGAATAAATAAAGTTACGTCAGGGGGAAGAGCCTTTTCATACAAAGCCCCCCAGTTTTGGAATAACCTACCAGTCTGTGTTCGGGACTCAGACACAGCCTCCATCTTTAAGTCTAGGCGAAAAATTTACCTGTTTAGTCGAGCCTTTGGTTAATTTGTTTTCTTGTTAGAATAAGGCACAGATCTGTCCTACGGTAATCTGGGAATGTTGGTACTGAACTAACTATCTGTCCCCCTTATAAATTCTTAAAAAAGTATAACAAATTCTGTAGCGTTTCTTTTGGGTTGGTCTACCTAAAAGTGACTGTCCTACAAAGATCAGACCAAGGGCAAAGAACCCTGAAGTGGCAGCGAACGATATGCTCAAGTGTCAAGTCAAGTCAAGAGGCTTTTATTGTCATTCCATCTATGTACAGGTACACAGTGCAGTGAAATTCCGTTCCTCCAGGAACAACATGGTGCAACAAGGAACAAAAGTACAAAAGTACAAAATTACAAAGTGCGAACGTGCAGACAGCGTGCAAACAAAAATTAAGCTAGGAACAATACAATAAATACGATAAATTAAAGAGACATTAGACACAGTAAACAGATCGGACAGTGTAGTACCGACACAGCACAGATTTCTGGACATGAAGTAGTGGAATAAGGTGCAGACATATTTAACATGATGTGATCTGTAAGTTACATCAGATAACATACATATACATAGCAGTTACTGAGGTAGTAAAACAGTGTAAACACAGTGTAAACACAGTATTGGCAACAATATTCCAGATAGATAGTGCAAGTAGAGCATCAAAAGAGGTGTGTATGAGTGTGTAGGGGGGGATTTAGTTCAGTCCTTGTGAGTTTAAAAACCTGATTGCTTGAGGGACAAAGCTGTTGCAGAGTCTGGCAGTGATGGCATGGATGCTCCGGTACCTTCTGCCGGACGGCAGCAGTGAAAAAAGTCTGTGTGAGGGATGGATGGGGTCGTTCACGATGCTGTGGCTTTCCAGATGCAGCATGTGGTGTAGATGTCCATGATGGAGGGGAGAGAGACCCCGATGATCTTCTGAGCTGCCCTCACTATGCGCTGTAGGGTCTTGCGGTCGGAGGTGGTGCAATTCCCAAACCAGGCGATGATGCAGCTACTCAGAATGCTCTCCACAGCCCCCCTGTAAAACATGGTGAGGATGAGAGGGGGAGATGAACCTTCTTCAGTCTCTGTAGGAAGTAGAGGCGCTGCTGGGCTCTCTTGGCTATGGAGTTGGTGTTGAGGGACCAGGTGAGGTTCTCTGTGATGTGGAGGCCAAGGAACTAGGTGCTCTGGACGATTTTCACAGCAGAGCCAGTGATGTTTAGTGGGGCATGGTCACCCCGCACTCTTCGAAGGTCAACAACCATCTCCTTAGTTTTGTCTACATTCAGAGACAGGTTGTTGGTTCTGCACCAGTCTGTTAGCCACTGCACCTCCTTTCTGTACGCTGATTCATCATTCTTGCTGATCAGACCCACCTCAGTCATGTAATCAGCAAACTTGATGATGTGATTTGAGCTGTGCTTTGGAGTGCAGTCA